ATTTTAAAGTATCTCATAACTTTAGCAGTGTTACCAGGTTTCACAATTGCAGAAAAACTAAGGTGACTTACACAGTGTTCCTCATCTTCATTTTTTTTTCACAACAATCCTGTAAGGTGGGTTACCTTGAGGATCAGTGATTGACCTAAAGTCACTCGGTGAGCTTCATGGTTGATTGTTGGACTAGAACCTGGATCTCTTGGATGCTTAACTGCTATACACACCCAACATTAGACCTGTACTATTAAAGGGAAGTGATTTGTGTCTCTGGAATGCAGGCAGTACACACATTTTAAATGTTTATAGTGATAATCACTTGGCAGGAGTTTATTGCTAGAGAACCAGTGAGTTGACAAGAAATAGGTGTGTTTCTGAATAAATCACGTGTGTTCTAAAACCTGGAGATGATTTCAGCCTTCCTTCATGAGCATTTCTGTGTCATAATCTTTCCTTGCACATTGTTTTCAGTGTGATTACAGATAAATATAATGCAACTTCTCTTCCTCTTCCTCTACCCAACATTTGTGTCTGGGTGCACGTAGTTTGAGTTTTGCATGAGGTGCTTGCCCTCCCTCACTGTATGGTTCTAGCATCAAATCTCAATGAACTACACATTTGTAAAAATAGGATTAAAAAGTATGATGTAGTTTAAGAAAGCCAACCCCTCCCCCCCAGCTGTGGGACTGTCCTCTTCCCTTCTGTGACAGCCACACCAAGCTATTTTATCAGATGCTTGTAATTTGGCACCTTCTGGCCATAATTTTTGACCATTGGCCACACTGCCTTGGGGATTTTGCAAGTTGTAGTCCAAATAATCTGGTGGGTAAGCCTGCAAAAGATTGCTGTTTCCTCCTATTCCCTTGTGCTGAAACTCACATCTACCTAGATTGTCTCCACAGAGGAGAGTGAATAATGGCTCATGTTTTTGTTTTCAGTGCTGTCATTCATCTTTCATGCTGCAAGTATGGGTCATTATATAGCTAAGGGGCATGTTCAAAAACAGCCCAGTGAGGATTAAGCATGTTTAGTGGCCATGCAAGACTGACTGACTGACTGACTGACGTGGGTGACAGAAATGGGGTGGGGGGGATGGAATGGGGCATCCTGGAAGACATCGTGACAGGTTGAGTGCAACCCTGAATAGAAGCACTCCATTGTGCTAATACATTGCCCTTGTATGAGTTATAAGTGAAACCTTGACATTTGCATATTATGTTTCTCTTCCGGTATTCCCAGCATAGCTTCTGCACTATTGTGAGGAAGAGGCTTAACACAGAGCTTCACTGGGAATGCATTGTGGCAGCAATGGCGCAGAACGATGGGGCATGACATGATTAGGATACCCAAAGGGCAATATCCTCTTAAATGAACCTGGCTGGCCATTAAGATCAGCTGCTGAGGTTACCCTTCATCTCCTGTCAACAGCAGAGGTATAATTGGTGTAGGCACAAGAGTGGAACTTTCTCAGAACTCCTTGTCCAGTGAGGTCCACCCTGTCACCTCTTTATTTTTTTTTCCTGGCAAATGTTTGGCCTTGTTGATTTTATGATTTTTTTTAATTGACTCCTTTCAAAATAAGATTTTGTGTCATTTTAGGAATCTTCTGTCCCTCTGACATTTTTAAATTATATGGTCTATTGTGACATTTGATTACTCTGTAATTTTTAATAAGCTGCCTTGTGAGTTCTTTAAGCAAAAAGGTGGGCTACAAATATTTTTAAAGACCTGCATCCTATATTTGACTAGATTCTGTTAGGATTGTCTCTCTTCCCCCTGCCCTGCTTTTGAGGAGCTTGGGATGCAGTATCATTACTTCTGCAGAATTGCTGCAGATGAAAGCCTGTACTGGTTGCCATAACTTGTTGAATGAAATGAGGGCTTTGCTGCTTCTATGGATCCTTTGGTATAACTCACCTTAGAATCTATACTGCTTTACCAAATATTTTCTTTCATGTTCTCTTGAGATATTAAGAAATATTCATGGTGCTTGCAGCTTTTTTTTTACTGATGAGTCTAACTGTACTCTTATATACTCTGCATTGTTTAATACTAAACAATGCTATCCCAAGATGTAACTCTGCCCATATTTAGCAGCAAGCCCCAAAAATGGTGGTCTCCTTGTGTCTCACGTGTAGAGATAGCATCTGATATATTCCTGGGCACTTTGGGGCAAGTCTTATCCATGCCGTGTGTTAAGAGTATTGCTTTGCTGTGTGATCTTGGTATAGCTTTGGCCAAGCCTCTTCAATCAGTGGATTGCACAGGTGCTACCCCCATTTAATTTTATTCAGGGTTCCCCCAGCCCCAAGACTGGGTTAGAGAACATGTTTAAGCTGATGCTTTGTTTGTACAATTCTTGTACAGAGGTAATGATCTTGTCACATGTCTTGCAACGATGAGAAAAGTACATTTTGATTTTCTTTCTTTGCTGTGACTGTTTCAGATATAGTTACAGCCCTGTCTCTCTTTTTATCTATAAAGAGAAGGCAAACTGTGGAGTTCATGTTGCAGGTTGGGAAGTTGATGGGTCCTGGTCTGAAAAGGCTGAAGTCTGTGCTAGGCTCTCTTTCTTTTCACAGAGACAGAACGCTTGAATTCTTTCTGTTCAGTGCTTAATGTGTAGCTTCTGCTGTTTATCCATGTAGTTTTTTTGTCCAAATATATTTTGAAGAAGTATGCATGCAGTAAAATCAGTGGCAAGTGATAGTTATCCAGAAGGAATTAATGGCTTAGACTTTGACCTCAAATATGTATTTATATGGGTGAGGATGACATGCTTTAGGCACTGCAAATTAAAGTTATTTGAACTGGCCATCAAGTGTATGATTAAAGGATGAGCAAGTGTCCTCAACAAGAGCTTTGGTTATTTAGGAACATTAGCTGGCATGGGACCTGTCGCTCACCTAAAAATCCACAAAATCCATTTTTTTCTGGCCTGCAAATCAGTCAGATAGTGACCACAATACGATTCACACACTTTGACTTTCTGTGATTCCATGCTGCTAGCTGAGTTCAAGTCCAGTGTGTTATGAAGAGAAATGACAGGCTCTTGCCTAACAGGTGCAACGGCTCATGGTGTGTAGTGGGCCGGAGGTGCATGCCAGCCCTACCCCACATGTGTCCATGCGTGGAGGCTCCTTAGCATTTACTGCTGCTGTCTGAAGGTGGTTTGTGAATGGACTGCCTCATTTGGGAACCCTGCTGGAGGTGCTTACCTCACCCTCACCCCCTCGGCACCTTAACACACGCAGCAGTCTTTAAGGAGGTGCTGCCACAGAGTGGAGAGGGTTTGGACAACACAATATGCCACACTGTGGGCAAGCTATGTGGTGTAGCTCATAAGGCACCTTATCTAGGATGAGCCCAACATACAATGGGGGATATTATAGGTAAGGTGCCCCCTCCTGGTTCACTGCTCCTGAAGATATCCTGGAACACTGGGAGCACCTGGGTTTTCCTTACTTCCTGCTGCCACACGTTGCTGTGGGCTCTCTGTGGCTTGACTGTAACTTTTAAAACATTTTTAGAGACGATGAAAGCCAGCTATCAAACCAGCTTTTGTGAGCACAATGGGGGTATCCATGAGATGTCCCCCAAGGAACCCCCACAGTACTTAGGAAGGGGTGCCCATGGTTGACCCTCCCTTTTAAAAAAATGATAGCGTGTGCAAATAATTGTGCTAATTTTGTTTTTAAATACAGCCCACTTGGTTTGCACATATTGGGCAGGGTAGGTTAGTGCAAGGGGATCCCTATGGTAGGTACAGGCTGGACTTGGTGCCTGCTAGTCAGATCTAACTCATGCTGCTTTTGTATGCCTCTTTTAAAAAGTCAGACAGCACAACCTGTCAAAGGCTTGTAAAGCCCTTGGAGATCACAATTTGTGAACAGGGACTCATTCCTCTTTTCATAGCACATTCGTCAGCTTTCTTTAGGGGAGATCGAATGCCCCTACTGACCCCTCTATTTTGAGAGTACCATCTGAAGGGGTGGGACATTCAGAACTGGAGGAGGATTCCCTCTGACAGCAAGGGAGCACTGACATGAACATGTTACTAAGCTGTCAATGTCAGTGCTACACTTTTGAAGGGCTTAGCAATTTCTTTTTGACCAGGACAGTGTGAAAGAATATATACCTGTACAGTTTCCTGACAAAACATAATGGTTAACCCTTTCCAGGCCTCACTTTAAAAACATAGCTCTGAGAATGGCAGGTCAGGCTGTCAAGCTCAGGTGACTCCCGTGAGTGGAAATCCCCCCAGTTTTGCATCCCCCTGAGGTGGTACTATCTTGAGGACATGTGCAAAGGGAGTGAACCTCAGGGGACTCTGCTGAAAAGAAAAATGAAGGATCTCCCCCCCCCCCAATATAGTTTTCAACATGATCTTTGTGTGTGTGTGTGTGTGTGTTTGGAGGAGATACTTTTGTGGTCCTGGGTTTCATTCCTTATCTTTTCAGTACCAGTCCAGCTAATTTGCACATGTTACGATGAGAAAAATATGGAGTTTATCTTGCCTAGCCTGTATTGTATTGCCAAGTATACAACAGGGATAGGAAGCACATGTCTTTAGGCCTTGGAGACAACCCTTCATAAACAGCCACAACTCTTAACATATATACTCCAAACCTACAAAGTTGTTAGTCCACTGGTCTATACACAGCCATGTTTCCTAAAAGGGGTTAAATGATTAACTTTTTTCAGGTTCCTCAACTTGGTTGCCCTCAGAGTAGCAGACATACCACAGGCCACTAGCTTAGCAACTGTTTCCAAGGCAGAACTCCTCCAACCTTCTTGTCTTAACACAAGTGCTCACTACGTGTATCGATTCCCCATCTAGATGACTCAGGTGTTTGGTGCAATATGGCCTGGCTGCCGCCACAGCACCATAAAGCCCCTAATGTGCATATCTGCCCCGTGCACCTAGGCAGAGGGGAGCTTTGTTTCTGGGAGCTTTTCAGCAAGGGGATCTGACTGCTTCTCATCTGCCTCTGTCTTTTCAGCTTCTGACTACAATTCTATTCTGAGCATTAGTGAAGAGGAAGCCAGATTGAAGGCTCTGAATGAGTACCTCAGCACTCGTAGCTATATCCAGGGGTTCACGTTTTCACATGCAGATGTGGAAGCTTTCAGACAGTTTTCGGGCCCACCTGTGGACCGGCATTTCCATGTGGTGCGTTGGTACAGGCACATAGAAGCAATCTATGATGGCAGCAGTGAAAAACATGACTCCTGTAAACTCCAAACAAGTGAGTAAGGCAAGGGCCAGTGGGTAGGAAGTTAATAGCATGCCTTTTATTTATATATTGATTTATTTTTAAAGATTTTTTGTCCAACATTCTGGGATTTTTCTTTGAGTTCCTATGTTTGCTAGTCATAGGTTTCTGGATCATTACAGTGAAAAATCAGCCCAAGTTCTTTTCTGTATTTATTTATTTATTTACATTTTTAGCTAAAAGGTTCAGCATGATATATATTGTTTTCTCCATCTGGGAGGTACATTAGAGTAGGAGAGTTTGGGTGGTCAGAAAGTGGTTCTATAACTTCATGGCTGAGTGTGGATTTAAATGGGATCCCTCCAGCTGTGTACCATGGCACAAAAAGAAAAGCCAGTGACTGGTCTGGTTGTTTCATGCGACTATTCTTCCTCCTCTCTGTAAAGGGCCCTAGTTCCTTATTGCTGGCTCAGGGGTGGCAGGAAGACACAATCACGCATGCAGTTTGTCTTCTAATGTTTAAAGAGTCAGTAGTCATTCACCGTTTGAAGCAAGAAGTAGCAGCGTGGCCAATGTAAGTTCTCCCTGATCAGTCATTTACATCCCTGGACTGAAAGTCACAGTTCTCCTGATGAGAGCAATGTGCACCATAAGTAAATAACAGATTATGGTTCCTCAGCAGACGCAGGGAAGAATGAAAGGTAAAATAATAGTTTTGAGCTTTAGCAAAACAAAATAAGTAACAGAACAAAGCAAAACAGTTATGTGATACTGAGGTTACTCTTAAATACGTTGTTGCTTTGGTAGCTGGAAAAGTACATGTCACCATATATGATATATATATATATATATATATATATATATATATATGTATATATATATATATAAAAAATAAAAATTCAGCCTCCTGGAAAAGTACATGTCACCATATATGAATTTTGTTTATATATATATTCAGCCACACACACACACACACACATTCAGCCATATAAATAAAATTCAGCCTTCCAAACATATTTTCAGGACAGTTTACACAAAGAATAAACTGATTAAAATATAAAGATTCTTAAACAAATAAGCTAAAAGCCACAGAATTATAAAAATAGCATGAAAAAATCAACAGGATTAAAATTGGATCCAAAAAGCTAAGGAAGAACAAAGATATTTTCTTATAGGTGCTCCTCCTTTGAAGATCTTGTTGTGTAGGTAGGAACCTATGTTGACAGGCTGCCCTATTACACTGGTTCTGAGTTGTGAAATGTTGTTAGAGGCACTTGGAATTGGGCCTGAAAATGGGTCAGGAGCCAGTGCAGTTGGCATGGCACAATTGTAATAAGATTGTAAAACATAGTCCCAGTTAGTAATTTAGCAGCCTCATTCTGCACTAATTGCAGTTTTCATTCTTCAAGGCAGTCCTATGATTAGCACATTGCAGTAGTCTACCCTGGAGCATAGATCACTGAGGTCAGGAGCCATTTCAGGAAAGAAATCTATTTGTCTCAGAGATGATGCTGTTTTTACCAAGTTATGTTTGGGGAGTGCCAGTTTTTTGGGACTGGTTCCAGTTTAACTGTTGCTGACCAAGGCAATGATAATCAAGGGAAGGTGATTCCTGTTACTTCTGGAAACTTTCGTGGGGTTTCTTTGTGCAAGCCAAAAAGAGTTCTTCCCTCTGCTTTAGCTAACAGACAAGACTTCTGCAAGATTCGTCAGCCACATTGGTGCCTTTGACAAATACGTTATTGCAATGACTTAGTCCTGTTATTTTAGTTATAAGTAACTGTAATTGTGTGGCTTCCTTATCATCTCCTCTAGCCCCTTTACTGATACCATCATTTTGTAAAATAATTGCACATTTTTCTCATTGTTCCACAGGGCCAAATGATCTTCTAGTGTAGCTCCACTCCAGACACGTGGGGTTAATTTGCGTTCAGTTTTCAGAGCAACACCAACGCTTACATCAAGTACAGCAGGCGCACATGCTTTATTTCAGGAGCACACATGGGGAAAGGAGGCATTGGTTTAAACTAATCTGTGTGCCCACCTGGTACCAGTATTGAACTGAATATGTTTCTGCTCTCTTGCAAATCCATGGCATCTCTCATTTTGTTCAGAGTGCCTAGTGTTCTTCCCTGTATACTTGCTGACAGCAGTTTTGAGTCCTGATACCTTAGCTTTTTTCTTGAGATGCTGTATACTATAAGCCACCTAGGTTGGATTGCATTAGTATAATTATATAAAAGGGATTTTTACAGCCCTTCCCATTATTCTTCTAGCCTAAGTGAACAGAAATGGGGAAGAGGCCTTATTCTTTTCTTGATCAGGGCTGCCAAGCAGGACTTGACCAGAGCATCTAAAATGAGTGCTGCCACCTCTTCAGGTGGGTTGTTACACCCTACCAATTATGTCATCCGTTGGTTTTCAGATGCAACCAGCCTTTCCCAACCTAGCCATGCTGACTTGAGAATGATGGGAGTTGCACTCCAGCACACTTAGAAGGCACTAGGTTGGAGAAGTTAGATACACATCCTAGGCTATTTCAGAAATACCGTTTTTCTCAGTAGTACTAGTACACTTGTGAGATCATTGTCAGAAGTTTACAGGATGTTACTCTTTTCTCTGAGGACCCCAGAGGGCAATCTGGGAAAACTGTAAAAAAAAAAAAAAGATTTCTGCTGACTCTGCTTTTCAAGAATTGCACCTGTCAATTCTGGCCTCACTGAGCTAGGTTTTTTTATTGCTTGTTGTTTAGTGTGTTTGAACACTGATGAAGGCAGTTTGAAACATATCCAGCTCTAGGATTATTACTTTTTCTGGCTGGGGAAAGCCAAGATACAAAGTCTTAAAGAGATGAATTTGTGATCTGTCAGCACAGGTGTTTATTGCATTCAAAAGGTGAGCAATTTTAAAGAGAGCCTTGGGGTTGTACTTCTTAAAAAACAGCCCCTCGTGTCACATGGCAAGCTGCTTTTGGAACAGTGCACCTAAAGTTACTCTTTAAAATTCATCTAATGTTTTTACTAAAACTAAAACCCTTTTCGTTATATCAACTGTTTATCCATAAAGTAAGATAATGGAATAGCTGGATTTTTCTAGTTTTTTAGGAAGCAGCAGTAGCTCAGCATTGAAGCACACCTTGTGCATATGCTTGGTTCAATCCCCTGCATCTCTGGGGAGAGAGAGAGGCTGAGAAAGACTCTTGTCTGAAACCCTGGAGAGTTGAGGCCTGTCAGTGTATCCTAGACTGATTAGAAGGGCCAAGGGAATGATAAAGCAGCTTTCTAAGATTGCAAGTCAAGATGTTAGGTAAGATCTTATTTCGGTGTGGTGTATAATTGCTGGCAGATACTGGGAGATGGTATACCATAAGCATCTTCCTTGTGGTTTTTTTTTTTTTTTTACTTATGTATGCTACTTTTAAGCTGATCAAACTCTTATGGTGGGTTAGAGCAGGCATAAACATGGAACAGCTACTGAAAAACTGAAGCACTGAAGAACCATAAGATGGCAAAAACAGAGAACAAAGCAGCAGTATACATCCTCATTGCTTAAGAAGGAGGAAAATGCCTATTCTAGTTACCTCTTTTAAACCTTGTTCAGGTGGAGGGATCAGTGTGCAGGGGAGGACTGGTGGTGATGGAAGAGGTTTCAACTCTCTCTTTCTGAAACACCATGGTCCTATTCTGAGCCACATGTGCTTACATGAGGAGTAAAGATGCATCACTCAGCTCTCTCAGAAGTGTGCAGTTCTGCAGGGGAAAAACCAACTCTCCTAAGCCCTCTGCAAATATTAGTACTTGCCTTACATATGTGCTACCCTGAATGATGAAGCAAGAATATATGCTTGCTTCAGTTGACAAAAAGAGCAGCAGCAGTGGGCTAAGTTGCAATTAGTTTCCCAAAGGAAGGCATGAAGACACATTTCAGGTTGTAGCACCTTACATATCACAAGAGCCATAAGTCTATAAAACACTGCATGCTCCCCAAATTAGATAGTAACACTTGTGGGGGGTGGGGGTGCCTTATGGCGCACCAGAAAATAATTAATGGATTTTCCTCGGTGTGAGAAAATAAAGGAAAAGCAGGGAGGGAACACAAGATGACATGGGACAATTGCAGGAGACTAATGATTGACTAATGGTCAATCTAAAAAATCCTGCTGACAAAGCAAGCTAGTAGCATTTTCAAAATCTGGAAGAGCCCTGCGGCTGGCGCAGAAAGTATGCAAGATAATGGATAAGGTATAATCAGAATAGTTTCTAATACATGGTGAAGGAGGAATGAGCATTTCTATCACTAGCATGTGAGTAGGTTGTGAGGGTGTCTATTCCCAGATCAGTTTAGAATTTTATAAATTTTCAGAGGTAATAAAACTTGACCTATGGAGCCTCCTAGAGGCTGGATCTTTCCATCATGTGCCGTTAGTCATTTCTGAAACTCTTCTAGCTGTTATGGCATGAGAAGGAACTCTAAATTAAGTCTGCAGTGACAGTTTAGTTAGTGGTCTTCATTCCTGATGAAACATGAATTTGTCAAAGCCATCTGAGCCTGTGTGTGTGAAGCTTTACTAGAGAGAGGCCAGGAAGTAGAAGGCGCATGAAAAATAGATGGCCTAGTGACCTCCAGGATATTTCATGCAAGTCTAAAGGGGATACTGGTCCTAGTGTTGCTCCAAATGGGGCACCAGGAATGGAGAAGAACGGGAGGAGGTGTGTTCTATTCCTGCTCACTAGGTATATACTAATGTAGATGGAAGGGGTTAGCAAGGATCTGCTGGCTTGGAGGATTATACTTTGTTGCATGTAGATTCACTTCCTGGCAGTGATCACTTGATTTCTTGTTTCTTACTCAATATTGAAGATGACTCCTACCAGCTCACTAAGTGCTTTTTGGCACTTCTTGTCTGCTCCCTTCCTCCTCTTTCTTCTTCCGGTATCCTGTTGAAGATGCTTGAGGAAATGCTTTAACATCTTTTTTTTTTTTTTGTCTCTTCTAGTTGTTTCTGAGTCCTGCTTGAACTAGGTTACACTTATTTTTCAAAAAGCAAGAAGTCAAAAAAAGCCTTTAACCCATCAAGTAGAATATAATAGATACATGATACCTTTAAAAAAAATTAATCGGTTGTATCACTGTTTTAAGATGTGTTTAACCTTTTGGATGACATGGGGGAGGTCTCCACCCCAAGTATTTTGTTTTTCTTTCTGGCAGCAGTATTTGAAACTATTGCTTCAATGCTTCTTGATAGGCTTGCATGGGTTGGGCAGGTACCTATAATACAACAAAGAGCAGTGATTTATTTATTTATTTATTTATTTTTGCGCTCATTAACCTGTCATGTTCTCCAAACCCCATTTGGTATTTCAGCATGGTATATTTGGGTTGTAACAACCACAAACAGAAACATCGGTCCGTTCTATGGTTTCTTAGTACTTGCAATGGAACTTATTCCCACATAAGCACTGCAGCTTTATGCTGTACACATGCAGCAGCAGTCTTGACTGTGGAAACACAGATTGCCCTTTTCACAAGTGCTATGGGAGCGGTTTGGTTCTTCACATCCCCTTGTACTTTAAATGAGACTCCTACTGTGTTTCCCCGAAAATAAGACCAGGTCTTATATTAATTTTTGCTCCAAAAGATGTACTAGGGCTTATTTTCAGTTGATGTCTTATTTTTTCATATACAACAATCTAAATTTATTCATTTATTCATGTACAAAAAACTACATTTATTCAAATACAGTCATGCCATCTTCTGGAACACCGTCATAACTCTCCAAACCCTGAATTGTGTCGCAATAGACATAATAAATGCGTCTGCCTGACTGACAATCTTAACTGGGGCTTATTTTGGGGAGTGGGGCTTATACTACGAGCATCGTGAAAAATCATGCTAGGGCTTATTTTCTGGTTAGGTCTTATTTTTGGGGAAACGGTATATTTCTCTTTCACTATGGTTCACGGTAAGATGAGGGGGTTGCATAGAATATGCAGCCAAGGAGGGAAATGGTTTGTTCTTCTTTCTTAGCATAATGAGTCATAATCTTTTGTTCATCTAACATGAAACCCAGCCTCTGCCAGTGGAAGAGACTTCACTGGCAGAATGGATTCCCCTTCCTCCCTGCAGCCTCCACAAGTACCTCCTGTCTGGTTTGAAATGCTGGGAGATGCTCTGGGGCAAATTTGGGGGCATAGAACAGGAAGGGTTCAAGGGGGGAAGAGGAAGGGAAGTGCCATTTTGCGAGTGGAAGTCCACTTACACATTGCTGGATGTTGCCCAGAAATAGTGCTATCACTAGTTTTCTCCCTGAAATTGTCACTTTGAAGTATTGTACTAATTTCCAAAGGAGGTAGCATCTGAGAGTATCGTATAGTTCACGGAAGCCTGTGACAAAACAAATGTGTTAGTCTTTCAGTCCTCATAAGACTGTTGTTTTTGCTGCAACAGATTAACATGGCTACTCTCTCAGAAATTGTTTCCAGAGGTGGAAAGTCAAGGGACATTTAAATAGTAAAGTTGTTGATTTAGGCAAACCTTAGCGAAGTGCTTGATTAAGGCTGGAATCTTGTGGCTACTTCCATGGCCATAAGGCTCAGTTCATATGGTAGAATGTACTTTCTAGTAAACATACTCAGATATAAATTGCAGATATACACTGGTGTGGAAGAGGTGGTGCAGTATAGGATTGCATTGTTCATGCTGTAGTATTTTTCTGAGCACCTGGGTTTTGTGACAACCAACCCCATTACTTGCAGCTAGAATTCAAAATTTTTAATCTGCCTAAGTACCATTGTGATTGTTTGCAGGGAAGCTGATCAGGACTTTTCAGAGCCCCTAGAACAGTGATCGTGAACCTTTTAGAGAGTGAGTGGCCAAACTCAAAACCCACTTATTTATCGCAAAGTGCCAACACTGCAGTAAAACCTGAATACTGAGGTTTTAGTTTAGAAAAAACAACTCACAGCCAATCCAATATATATCCTTGGCCGCGCACTGACCGGCCATGCGAAAGCTCAGACAAGTCGCGGCTAATGAGATGTGGCTTGTGACATCGTTGCCTGGTGCTGCTACTCCTTTCCGAGCATGCGCATGGACCCTGTGTGCGCTGTTATCCGATGCTCGGCTGCTGGGGCAATGCTGGGGCGACTTGGCTCATGTGCCGACAGAGAGAGGGCTCTGCATGCGCACTGCGGCACACGTGCCATAGATTCGCCCTCTCTGCCCTAGAAAGTCCCTGATGATGCATTCCAGGGAAGAAAGTATTGAATGTCTAGAAAGCTCTGCTTGCTTCTAGCTGAAGCTGGGCTTCTGTTTGGAGTGGCTACTGTGCTAGTTCAAAGAGTTGTTGCTAGTCTCTGAAACAAATTTGACACCAACAGCAACACTACGTAGTACTATGGATTCCTGAAAAAGTACCACTTTGAGGTTACTGTGCTCCAACATTTCTTTTGAAATAACTTGTGGCATAGTAAGGATCTGTTGGGTTTGTTAAAAATGGGTAGGTTTGTGCAAACATCAGGCTCACTATGGCTTGTTCTCCCGCTCCTTTCTCCTCAATCCTTCCACCAGTATCCTTCACAACAAGATCTGTCTTCTCTGCCTGCTGTGCTCCAATCACTACTTGCTTTTGTTTTCTGCTGTTTTTTTTTTTTTTTTTTTTAAGCAGTGAAAATGCAGCTTGGGCCATGTCTTGTCTTTTAGTTGAAGAAAATTGCACAACTCTGTATTTTTTATTGTTATTTTTGTCAGTACTGCTCAGGTGCACTCCTAGGGGTTTTAAATATATGTAGTGTTGCCTGGTCAATTCACTTGTCCATTTCAGTTTTCAATGGCAGGTGAAGTGGAGGAGGTAACATACATGAAAACTAACAAGGCGAGAATGACAGTAGGCTAATTTGTGCACAGTTGCCAGGAAACAGTTGCTGAGTTATCAGTTTGAAAGCACTGGGAAAGGGTGAGGGGAGTGGCAAAAGAAGATGCAGCAAAACATGTGTGGAAGAGTAATGCTTCCTACATAGCAATGCCATCTCCTCCGCTTTAAATGTTGAACAGTAACTTGTCAATGCAAGTTAGAAGTTCAGTGCAAGTTTTCAACATGTCCTTGACTCTTTAGCTTGCCTAGAAAGGGGAATCTATTAATCTTGTGCTTCTTTTTTGGAGCTTTTACCACTGTGGTCAAATATGAACACATTTGCACAATTTTCTGAGGCTAAAAGAAAGAAAGGATGGTAAACCATGGCTAGTTGCTCCGGAGTGCCACTTGAGCATAAGCAGGAAAGGCAGTCATGGGTCGCAGCAAGGGCAGGATCACCCAAAGTGGCCGGGAGCCATGCTGCTCTTGCCAAGCAACTCACAAGTCAGTTCCTGCAAATCAAAATGAAATTTCTGTCCAGAGTTTGGATGACATGACAACCCATCAGGGGTTCAGCAATGGATTATTAGGGTGGCTTGTTTCCATTGTGGCTAGTTATCCAGAATGGATCATTATGTTATATGAATTAGATCAGGGTGATTTACTTTTTTCATGCAAAATGCATTTATTTGTTTTTAATATTTTTTCTAGGTAAAAGCAAGCGCACACAGCCTCACTGGTCTCCACCCCAAGGAACAATACAACCCAAACTCTGCTTGTATAACAGCCTCACACGCAATAAGGTGAATTTTTGTATTAGTTGATAACTGTTCCAACTCTTTTGGCTACTCCAGTTCTCTAGGCTTGGAAGTGACTTTTAAGACAGCTGTACCCAGAAAAGTCCTTCCTGTTATCTTTGTTTTGTGTCATGGATAACATGCTCTGATTCAAAATAAAAATACCACACTGTTTCTGTGGTGCTGTTCCTGTGAAAGTAGCCCTGTGCATATTTGACTTCCTGAAATTTCTTTGTCTCCTTTTTCCTCTAAGGACATATTTCAGCCGCAAAATGACAACATGGTGAAGTGGTATTGTTGCGGTCCAACAGTGTATGATGCCTCCCACATGGGACATGCAAGGTATGAAGGTGGTGTGTGGTGTCTGAATAGCAACTGGCATTAGCAGTTGAAGAGCAAAGCCAAAAATAAATGTATTATGTTGGATCCATGTTCAGTCTTGCAAAAACTCAGTGTTAAGAGGAAACATTCTTTTCCAGCAAGGATGATGGCACATAATCTGTATTGGGAGTTGGAGAGCGGCCATTTTGCATGCCCAGTGCATGATTAGCAAAACTGAATGCTTGTTACAGGAACAGGATAGTGGCCATTGCTAGTGGATATGAAGCTCTTCACTGATGGTGTCATTTTTATAATTTTGAGTATGTTTGATGGAATCTGTGTTGTGTTGCCATAACACACTTAGATTACTAAAACCTTAGGGCGCAACTAGGCATGATATAATCGGGATCTATCCTATTTATACATATCTAACTGTTGTGGGGGTATTATGCATAAGACATTCCTTGATCAGGACTATTATCTTGAGGTTGGAGGATTTTAATCTATTCTTCCTATGCCATTTCCTGCAATTAAAATTGTTTCTGAAACTGCTGTTTGAACCATAGTGGAAAATGCTGAGATACCCATAGGTTATATCCAGTGTTAGTCTAATTTATGTCTTACCCATTTCAATGGGATGACTCTAAATAGGACTAACATTGAATACAACTCCATATGTTTTAAACCTACCCTTCCTCAATATAGCAACCCTGGAGCTTTCCATAATAAACAACTCCCAAGGAACCTGATCATGAATCTCTTTCATCATATCTGGTTTGATCCTTTCTAATTGAAGGTTCCTCATGTAAGCCTTATGCATTTTTACCATTTTATGATACATAATGTTTTATTTTAAAACAAATAGTACTTAAAAATCAAGAAATATGGTCGGTCTAATTACACCAGCTAAGTTTTCAGTCTGGTGTTTCAAGAAGCCTTTTAACTCTTATTTTGGATATTTAAAACCACAGTTCAAGCTCCACTATGGGATGGCTTTGAAATAATATAAAAAAATCTCTTAAGAATTCATTTAAAATTATCTTTATGGGTAACAAGACAATTGAGGGTTAAATGTTGTTCAAAATAGGTTTGGCACACATTTCCAGGACTTATCTTGCCACATACTAATTTTGTGTAGAATGAAAAGCTCATTTTTACAAGTGAAACGCTTAACTTGTAAATTTTCTAGATTCAAAATCCATTACTATGTATGCTTCATGAACTTACCTTGTGCATGTAAATGCATTTGAAGTTTCTGCTGTGCAAAACTAACTTGCCTTTTGAATTATTTTAGATCATACATTTCATTCGATATCCTGAGAAGAGTTTTGAAAGACTATTTCAAGTACGATGTCTTCTACTGTATGAATATTACAGATATAGATGACAAGGTAAATCTAAAATGCCATAATTTGATTAACTTATTGAATTAATTTTATTTTAAAATCTTACACTGATAGGGAAAGCTCTCTCAGCAGGTTAACTGGTTCTTAATTTGTATAGCACTTTCAATGTACATGTAACTTTACAGAATAACATAAATAAAGAGAGAGATCCCTGTCCCAAGAAGCTTGCAGTCTAATTTTCACAGAAAGATAAAAGACAATGGTGGGATGATGTTTTGGAGATGTTTTGCTAGATAAATAGTACTGGTTTTCATCTTCAGATTATATACATGTGTTTCCAATTTATATATTATCTGCTTTGCTTTGTAGATTATAAAAAGGGCCAGGCAAAACTATCTCTTTGAACAGTACACAGAGAAGAAGCCATCAGCCACACAGCTACTTGAAGATGTCCGCACTGCATCTAAGGTAAGCTCATATTCTACCCCTTCAGGTGCTATGCAGAGAGAAGTTTGCTGTCTCAGTTGTCTTTCTGGCCTTGGCTTCCTTTAAAAATTCTAGCGTCAGAAGAGAATAATCAGTAGTTCACTTTGTATCCCACTTTATTCCTTTTTTCTATTTTCTATTCTCTGTTCAGCCACTTTCCCACCATGGGGCACACACTGCCTCTGTCAGTGCCCGATGCCTGAAATTGTTATAGCATTGCAAGGCCCTTGAGACTTGCTTGTGCCCAGACATGCCACTGATAAAGGCAGCCAAAGCCACCTTCTCATACTGCAGGAAGATAAGAAGAGCCCTGATGGATCAGACGAAAGGTCTGTCAAGTCTAGCACCGTGATCCACAGTCGCTAATCAGGTACCTACAAGAGCCCACAAGCAAGGCATGTAGGCAATAATAACCCCCTGAACAACTTCCCCAGCAATTGGTGTGCATAGGCAGACTTCATATTGGAGGGAACTTAGAACTAGGATGGCCTCCTAGCAGGGATGGCCAAGGTGGAATGGTCAAAGTGGAGATACCAGACTAAGATGTAGCCACTCTCCTCAGGGGTGTCATCACATCAGCAAAAGATTGACATCTATATGGTGATGGGGGTGGAGAAGCTCCTGAAGGGCAGCAGTAGTCAAAGGAGAAACTTCTGAAGCAGCAGTAGTTTACAGTGACACTGGTAGGGGATCTTTTGCAGACTGTGGTAGTGAAACTCAAGATAACTCTGGTAATAACTGCACAGAAGAGGCAATGGTAAACTACTTCTAAATATTCTTAGTTTGAAAATCTTATGATAACGCAAGAGATAGTGGTAGAAACTGAGACTCCCAGGATGGAAGGCAGTCAACTAGCTACTGGGGCGCAGCAAAGGACAAGTATGAATAATGTTGCTAATGGTGCAGCTTGATCAAAGGATCAGACCTAGTGGCTGACAGGCACAGGAGTGAAAGGAAAGCCTGATGCGGCACAACCCGTGCAATTGGCACATGAGAAATACGAATCAAGACAAACTGGAAGCTGTAAAGCAAGAAATTGAACATTTAAACATCACAGAAATCCATTCAGGGAGAATCTGCAATATTAGAAAGTGAAGTGAAAGCTGCCCTGAAAGCACTTGGAAGGAATAAGGCACCTGAAGTACCAGTAGAACTATTCCAATCTGTAGAGATTGAATCAGTCCAAATCCTAACAGGAATATACTAATAAGTATGGAAAACAAAACAATGGCCCACAGATTAGAAACATTCAATAAACATTCCATTTCCCAAGAAAGGAAATGCTAAGGAGTGCGGCAATTAGACGACTATTGTACTAATTTACCTTGCAAGTAAAGTGATGCTCGAGGTGTTGCAACAATACTTTTGCCCTCTATGGAGCAAGAAATGCCCGACATTCAAGCTAGGTTCTGAAAAGCAGGAAAAGGAAGGGGCACTTGAGCTCATATATGTTGACTATGTTGTGCACGCACGCTTGGATGAGATTCCCAGACGCGCACAAGAGATCGAGGGCTCTGGTGGGAACACTAGCTTAGGCTTAGAAGAAGGGGAGTGAATAAGTGTTCCAGCAGAGAGTCAGAGTTCTCACCCTGATACTGCAGACGTTGAGACTAGCCGAACTCCAGGTGGTGAACTACCTCAGGGAGTGAGGCTGAGACAGTGCAGGATCAAAGCACTTCAAGGACAAACACAGGGCCCAATAACTATTCTTAATTGTGAGAAAGAAGCCAATAGAGAGCAAGCTGGAGCGGTTTCTGAGGGTGGTTGGGATGCTCGAGCGTGCAGGTGCACTCGTCAGCTGGGGCAGTTGGAGATCCGATTAGAGCAGTGGTGGCAAGCGCATGTCCAGAGAGCACCACCCCCTGGAAACAGGCCCCAAAGGGTTCATAAGCAAAGTGTAGGGTGACGTCAGTCAGAGCAAAAGGTCAACTTTCTACCTTGAGTGTACTTTCTGTGTCTGTGAATAGCTGTTTGGAATAAAGACTCTTTTAGCAATTGCTGGAGTGTTTGCCTTTATTGGGAAGGGACGCCTGGCTCACAACAGACTACTGGAGCGCACCAAAGAATTTCAAAAGACCAATCTATCCAGCCTTCCCCAACCTGCTGGCCTTCAGAGGCATTTGGACTGCAACTCCCAGAATTCCCATCCAGTTGGGCCATTGACTGGGATTTTGGGTGTTGCAGTCCAAACATGTCTGGAAAGCACAAGACCTTTGGGGAAGGTTGATCTATGCTTTATTGATTACAGCAAAGCCTTGCCTATGTGAATCATAAGACGCTATGGATGGTTCTGAAAGAAATGGGGTGCCTCAGCACTTTATCATCCTGCTGTATAACCTGTACTGTCCATCTGCAGCTACTGTTAGGACAGAATTGGAGAAATGGAATGATTTCCTATAGGAAGGGTATCAGACAAGGGTGCATTTTATCTCCCTATCTATTCAAACTCTGAGCAGACTATAAGGAAAACTGCATTATAATCTGAGCATGCAGAAGTGAAAATTGGCAGAAGACACATCAATAACATATGTTGATGATACCATATTAGTGGTGGAAAGAAGCAATAACTTGAAACAATTCCTGATGAAAGTGAAAGAAGAAAGTATGAAATTAGAAATGTAAGTAAATATTAAGAAAACAAAGTGGCTGCAGAAGAATTACACAACTTAAATGTCAACAAGGAAGAAACTGAATTTGTGAAAGATTTTATATTGCATCAATACAAAGGGAGACTGCAGCCAGGTCATGTGAAGAAGATGGAAACTTGGAAGGGCAGCAGTGAAAGAACTAGAAAAGTTAATAAAATGTAAGGATATTTCACTGAAGGCCAAGGCCAAGATAATCCACACTATTGTATTTTCTGTCACTGTGTATGGGTGTGACATGTACAGGGAAGAAAGCTGACGGAAATAAAATGTGCTCAGAACATGGTGCTGGAAGAGATCTTTGTGAACATTCTGGACTGCTGCAAGGATGAAGCAGGAGGTCCTAATCAGCTCAACCTAGAACTCCCCCTAGAAGCAAAAATGGCAAAACTATCAGGCACCTCATGAGAAGGCAAGACTCATTGGAGAAGGCAGTTATGCTAGGGAAAGTCAAAGGCAGGAGAAGAAGACCAATTATGAAATCAATCAATTCTATAAAAGGAAACCTCAGCCTTGTGTTTACAAACTGTGCAGGGCTGTCAGGAACAGGACATTTTGGAGGGCTTTCATTCATAGGGTCACCATAATTCAGAAAGAATTGGTGGCAGGAAGTAACAAAAAAGTTAGCTCACCATTGTACCTTGTGGTAGTGAATTCCATGTGCACATTAGCTATGCAGTGTTTGAAAAAGCACTTCTGTTTCTCTGTCCTAAACCTTGCACCAATGCTTTTCATAGTTTTATTTGAAAAGAAGGAAAATGTCTCCCTATCCACTTTCTCCACATTACACACATTAAACAATATCTCAGTCATGCCTCTCCCTTGTACTCCTTTCTTTTGATAAAAATGCTGCAAGCATTTCGGTTCATCCCAGTTGCTCTTTTCTGTACGTTTCCCAGCTCTACAATATTCTATTTTAGAATGTGTACAGTGACTGCTGGATTCACTCTCTGGGCTTCCTTCCCTTGTGGGATTAACCTTAGTTTCTTGGCATTCCCTGAATTCACTACAGCTTAATCCTCCCACGGAGCTGAACATCTCTGTCTGGAGGATGCTTTCACTTGCCATGACTAAGGGCCTTGGAGTCCTTTGCCTGTCACTTTTCCTGAGACAACTATTTGCTGCTAGCTTCCCTTAGGACAGTTGGACATGAACATCTACGAGTATATTTTTCTCCTACCTTTTGTCACCCTGATAGATGTCCACAACATTCCAAATTCTTCTGCAAAATGCATATTTGGGAATTTAATTGGTTAAATAAAAAGGCACAAATTCTCTGAGAAGAACTCTCAATTTTTCCTAGTGTAAGGTTTTTAGTGTGTGTTTGGAAGAGGAATGTCAGAATATTTGGAAGGGGAATAGTTCTGTCTATAATATGGTATATACCAATCCCTTGGATTCTAGAATTTGCTTTCACTAGCAGTAACATTCCCTGACAAAGTTTAGTATTATTTCTTTATTTAAAAATTCTTATTTATTTTAAATTTTTATAGATAGTTCTATAGCAAATGTTCTCAGAATGGTTTACAGCATAAGCTGTATCTTCATTTAGAAATGACTTCTAGGGAGGTATACTTAAACGTGCTTCTCCTGGAAGGAAGTTGGGGGATTTCTTTCCAGTTTCCCCTTCCTCCTGGAGCTCCCAGTGTCACCTCTCAATGTACTAGAGTAGATTTTCAGGGTGCATAAGGGCTGCGGAGGGAGGGGGGAATCCATACAAACTGACCACTGCTCCCCCATTGTGCCAGCAAAATTCCTCCCCTGGATCAGAAGCCTGAAAAGGAAAGGAGCAAATCCACTTGTAAAAGGCAAAGTTCAGATCTGACCTAATGAGTGTCCAGTGAAAATTCAAAAGTTACTCTTACCTAGAGCATGAATGCTTATGTGACATTTTAATTTTTAAAATCTGCCCCCTAGACACCTGGTACTTCTTTTGCCTTGGGAATTTTTCACTTAAGTGGAAGATAAAGGCTTTTAAGGTATATTTTGTTAGATGTATGTCATTTTATGTGACGATCCTTGTTCATTATCTTGTCAAACCTTTCATGTGGTTTTTAAAAACACATGCATATCTATAAACAAACCATGTTTCTTAAATCAGCCCTTTTCAGCTAAGCTGCAAGAAACCACAGACCCTGATAAGAAGCAGATGCTGGAAAGGATTCTGAATGCAGTGATAGCTGCTGTGGAACCTCTAGAAAATGTACTGCGAAGAAACCTTCCTGAAGGGGAAGTCAGCAGACATGCTGAGGTTTGTCCTGCATGGATTTTGGTTTGTAGGCTTGATGCTATTTTCTGAAACAGGTTATTTACTAAAAATAACATGTCTGAGAGAACGGAGAGTCCTTCCCCAAGTGCACAAACAACATGTTTGAGATCAATTTCATCCTTTTGGGACAGACTCCATCAAACTATGGGTACCTTTAGGGTCAGCCTTATTTGCTCTAGAGGTTTTGTGGATGGGGGGCACTTAGGGAATGCAGAGGAGGAGAGGAAGAGTAAGTCCTATTGCCTGAATGATTGTCCTCTCATACCATTTAATGCAGTTCGTATTCATTTATGAATATGTTAGTGCTCAGGGCCTACAACCAAAAGGCCACCTACAATCTACCACCCATTTCAGTCACCATTTCTTTTCTTCAGCCACTGGTTCCCATTCAAAATATTTCCCAACTCATGAAGTACAAGAAACTGTTACTTGGCAGAGGCTCTTCTCTGGAAACCCTCTTTGAAAGAAATTAGGAGGGTTGTTACTCAGAGAAGGGCCTTTTCAGTGGTGGTGTCCCAACTGTGGAATACACTCCCCAGGGAGGTTTGCCTGGTGCCATCGCTCTATTCCTTTCGAAGATCTTTTTATTATCTCGATATTTTAACAATTAATTGTTTTTATCCTTGTTTTTATTACTATTTTAGATGTAGTGTGCTGTGTGTTGTTATGGTTTTGTTCTTGGTTTTCTGTTCCTTGTAAGCCGTCCAGAGACTTTTTAGTAATGGACGGCATAGAAAAAAATTAATTCTACAAGGAAAACTGGGTGTGTGCTGTTTGTGTCTTTGGAAACAGGCCCAGATAAATCGGCATTATACATTTTTAGGCACAATTTGATCATGAAATACTTGAAGACTCTTGCATTGTGACAGTCATCTGTTATCTAATTTATTTTCTAGGTGTTGTTGCATGAAGCAAAAGAGATACTGTCTGAGTGGCTGGACACGAAGTTGGGCAGTCAGATCACTGACAACTCTATATTTTCCAAGCTTCCCAAATTCTGGGAAGAGGAATATCATAAGGATATGGCAGCTCTCAATGTAAGTTAGCATTCAGTATAAGACATTTGCATATAATTTGTGGCTACTTATTTCAGATTTATTTGGCCTGGAGGGAATTAGAAGGCAAACATGTGACTTTTGTTTGTACTTCAGGGCTTGAAGACATAGGTTTAGTGGCAGATGTTGATATATAATGATTTAGCATCTGTTAAGATTCATACTGACACCTTCTATCCACAATCTGAATAGTGCTGTGTTTCAAGATACTTCAATAGTGAAAAGTTGTCATTCATACCTAGAAAAATCAGAAGTAACAGAAGACATAAATAAAAAATGTTAGCTTTCATCAGCAGTCCAAGCAGTGATGGCTCGTGTTCACAGTGATGGACTTGTTGGAAGCAGTGCGGACTCCCATTTTTAATAAAGATTGCATTCACCTTTAGCTCCTGGAAACTACTAGCACACTCTTGGTTTTGTTTGATTGAGCCAGTGTTCAGCTTCTTGGTTCAGTTTTTCTTGCCACTTTATGTTCTCTTCAACAAGTTAATTCTCCTTTAAACTTTCTTGTTAGTATGCATCTATAGAACCTTAACAGTGAAACAACAGGGTTGTGGTAGACTGGTGTGACAGAGGTAGAATATATTTATAGTTTCTTTGTTTCTAGGTATTACCTCCAGATGTCTTAACTCGTGTTAGTGAATATGTACCAGAAATTGTGGACTTTGTTCAAAGAATTGTAGATAATGGATATGGGTGAGTAAGGAGTCCGAGTTCCCCATGGTGTGTCTATGAGAGGGGACCCAAAAAACCCAGGAATTATCTTCTGGAGGGTGGGCCCCTTGTAGTACAGGCTCCCCCTGCTAGGTGAGTGTTCTAGGAATCCATCTGCATCAGTGTATCCAGCTGGGTTGTGAGAGGCTGTGTTTAGCTCCAGTGTGGGTTTTTTGGAGACTCTTTCAACACGTTTGGCTTATTTCGTGGTGGCTGATTTACAATGTGGCAGTGAATTTTGTTCAGCTGAGTGTTTAGCAGTTTTTGACCAAAAAGGGCATGACCCTTGTGCCCCATCCTCCCTATTTACCCGTTCTCGCCCTATCCGACTTTTTTTTTTTTGTTTCCCTGGATGAAAAAAGTCTCAAAGGGAAATGTTTTGCTGATATGGAAGAGGTGAAACAAAAAACAGCAGACACACTAAAAGGCATCAAAATCAATGAGTTCAAAACCATTTTTTGAGCAGTGGAAATAATGTCTCAGTAGCTGTATTGCATCTAACGGACAGTACTTTGAAGGTGACTGAAGTTTGAACATGTAAAAACAAATACATGATTTTTTAATAAATAAATTCCTGAGGGTTTTTGCCCCCCTCTCCTGCCATACGTGTGTACAAGGGGGCAGGGGGAGGATGGGTAAGCTTCAGAAATACCCAAACCTTCATTCATGTTTCCCCCTATTCACATGCACACCCACACATTCCTTATCCCCTGCCTCCAACCCACATGAGAAATAAGAGATAAGGGAATGATTTTCTTAGTCAGTCATAGAGCTGGCAAGGAAAGTGGCAGACTTTCACCTGCTAGCAATAACAAGGGAAGCACTGAGGAGGGTCCCCATGACGACATGGGCTGCATGTGGCCTGTGGGTTCTTCACCACTGCCCTAGACACTCAGCATGGAATGCAATGGTAGGGCCTGGTCTTCTAGGCAATAGCAGCAACTTTTTTGAGATCCTGTTTTAATGCTGTGTGAACTCTTGATAAAATTGTGCTTCTGTCTTCCAGTTATGTGTCCAATGGATCTGTCTATTTTGATACAATAAAATTTGATGCAGCTGAGAAACACTCCTATGCGAAGTTGGTTCCTGAGGCTGTAGGAGATCAAAAGGCACTTCAGGAGGGTGAAGGTAATTTAACAGTCAATCAGGAACTTTCTTGTGAACCTCAAGAGAAAACTTTTAAAAAGGATTCTGACCATTCCATTCCTTTTTCTTGTACTTCACAGGTGACTTGAGCATCTCAGCAGATCGCTTAAGTGAGAAGCGTTCTCCAAATGATTTTGCTTTGTGGAAATCTTCCAAACCAGGAGAGCCTTCGTGGGATTCTCCTTGGGGGAAAGTAAGGCCAATGGCTTGGACTGAGCAATCCAGCTGCATGAGCACAAGACAATTTTGCTGCAGGGAAAGTGGGGGAAGGGGAGATGCTTTTACATGTCATTTATGGTTTCTTGCACGTCTTGGGAAGCTAATTTAGAGAGCTCTCCAATCATCTGGACACCGTTTTTAGGATGCAGGGAGTGGGCAGCAGACTGGGGAGGGGGATATCTGTGCCAGCCTGCACTCAAATGGGAGTACTTTCTCTTTGTGTAGCTGGATCTTTTTCTTCCAAGCTACTATTACTGCTCTCTGTGTATGTATCATGCATATAAAGCCAGTAATAAATGAAATTCTCAACAAATTATCCAGTCTAAAGACAACTCCTGCCATTACCTTTATAAGACATGAGAACACAGGTCATACCTGGAGATGAAGGCTAGCATCACCCAAATGGCCTGCAAAAGCATTCTTGCTTGGAGCCTCCTTGATTCTCAATTATGCTGTGCACCTAATCCAGTCATTGGCACATGTTAGATTCTCAGATTTAAATAAGTTGCTACAGTTTCCTTTTAAAAATTGTCCCTGGAATATGTTTTTCTTTGTTTACTTTTTGTTCTGCAATCCCCTAATTTTTATAGTCGGGCTTTTTCATAAATAGTCACAGAGTCTCCGCGTTACCCAATCAGGGAAGGAAAAGAACCCCTGGGACTTCTTCTCCTCCCCTGCACATGCTGATCATGCACTGCCTCATTTTCATAAGAATCCACCATGGTTTGCCATGCTTGCCTGAACCCAGCAAGGTGAGTTATGGGGTTGGCTTCCAAATTACTCCTTAACTCACCCTCACTGGCTTCAGCCAGCATGTCAGTCTACATCCCATATGGACAGCTATGGAAATGAAGTGGTACACAACCTATATTCTTGGTATGGGGGAAAAGAAACCATCATGGCTTCTTTTCCATTCCAGTCATGCAAACCCAGCCTCTATCTGCTTGTTTGCAACCTTGCCTGAGTGGCTGTTTCTTCTTGCTTATAGCAGTGGTTCATAGCTGTCCTCTTTTATTGAGAGTGAAACTGTCTTAAAATGTGGTATCCAAAGCCAGACATACTACAACTGAGCATTTACCTAGTGCTTTAGCTGGTTAGATATATCAGGAGGCAAATGAGAGCACATACCATGGTTGGGGTTAAAAAGTTTAAAAATACTCTTAACATGGTTTTATCACAAACTTGTAGATAAATGTGACTATTTTTAGGAGTGTTTCTTCTTGGGGAGCAAAGCACTGTAATATGTAAACCTAAGAGAGAATTAGAGAGGCTACTTCAGTAGTAATACAGAAAAACATTTTTTATGAACTTACCTTCTTGTAGAGATAACTTTTCAACAATCTAAGCTATCTTGTGATGGGCACTTTCAAAATGTTCTGAATGTTGCCATTTGCTGATATTCATTCAGTCACTTGAGGATGTTGCTTTTAGTTAAATGCATTTTGTGCAGACTTGATTCTGTCAAGCCAGGCTATGCAAAATTTATTCTTGCATCCAACTGAAAATATTCCCAACAAGAGAGGGCAGTATACTACACTACCTGTATGATGGTGGGACCTACTGCTAGAACAGCAGGAAGTCTATTAGTTTGTGAAACAACTGTAAATCAGTGAAAATGCTTGTTTCTAGAAAGAAACTGATTAGCAGAGCTCTGAAAAAGGAAATGAATGTTTCTGCGTATTTCCAGGGCTGCTTTAGGAGCTGCTAAGGTGGGTTGCCCCAGATACCCTCTCAGAAGAGAGTCCACTTGGCTAATGCCAGCATCTTGGCAGGTTCCTTGACCAGGGAGTCAAGGCCCAGGCCGTCATTGAAGAGTTGGAGACGGGCCGTGATAATGCTGGGATACTGGAGCAACTTGTGCTCCAGCAAGTGCTCCTCCTCCTGGCATCTTAGGCAGGTGGGGCTGATGGAGGGATTGCAGCGGTGCACATTCTCCTGTGATATCACTGAGTGGCGAGAGCACAGAACTCCATCTTGCTGAGACTGGACAGTTTGGCAGCCCTCAAGCCAGGAGCTGGTCCTTGTAGACTGTGGATGTTTGAGCATGAGTTGGGATGAGCTGCTGCACAGCAGCTTTGGCTGTTGAAAAGGGGATGGGTGTGGGGAGGGAAGACAAGGCTCAAGCCGCTTCCTTGGTGCTAAGCCGGGGGCCCCACAAGTGCAACAGAACTAGCAACTAGTGGTGCAGCAGCAGATTGGGGTGCTGCCCCGAGCATGCAGAAATCAGATGAGGCAATAAGGTAGACATTCTGCTTTCAAGAAGTAGTTCTGCTGTTAAAACCTGTTTAAGAAGGTAAGAAATGTTAACATTTAATATTAAGTAGTGGAGAGTATTAACATTCTCAGTAATTAATTTTTAAATAGGGCCGCCCAGGATGGCATATTGAATGTTCTGCAATGGCTGGGTCCATTTTAGGAGAGTCGATGGACATCCATGGAGGAGGCTTTGATCTTCGGTTCCCTCATCATGACAATGAGTTGGCACAGTCTGAGGTAGAGCATACCATGTTCTAATTCTTATTGGGAAGTTTCAGCCAGAGAAAAGGAGAAGAATTAGCTTAGTTAAGTAGATCAACACGTTGGCTTTCAAAAGAGAACATGAAATGTACAAATCCTCAGGCTGAAAATAAAAGCAATTCTCCTGTTGCTACTGCTTAAGTTTAAGTATGGTTGCAGCTGATTTTATCTTAAGTTCTACTTTTGATTATTAATACTAATGCTTTTTAAGGTCATGTATATCTGTGTTATTTTTCATACAATATTATGACACAACTTACACCACAGTATGATTTATTTGTTAACAAATAAACCATGGCTATGGTTCAGAGTACTGATTCGCAAACTGCATGCTGTGAGATCCCCCTCTCCCTCCCTCCCTCCCTCTTTCTCTTGCCCTCTCTCTCCCCCCTGTCCCCTACCCCGCAGCCTCAGCCTAATCCCCAAATAACTGTTCTGCTCTGCAGTTTCAAGGAGGGTGTCCATCCATAGCTATCCATGGGAACTGCTTGAGAACATGTGTTTAGAGCCTTTTGAATGTTGATTGAAGTGTGTCTCTGATCTTCATTTTAACGAAAGTGCCCCAGCAAAATTTGGGAATTCTAATTTAGGAGTTCATAATCCTGAAAGACATCTCATCCCACTGGACTAAGAATCAAATTAAGAGAGGCAGTGATGGAGAATAGAAGTTATCTGTCTTTCTCTTTCCATATTTCAGCAGTCTATTGAGAATTCATCTTATAACTTACTTAGGTTTGTCCCATGTATCTTGTAGGCATATTTTGACAATGATCATTGGGTTCGCTATTTCCTGCACACTGGGCACCTGACGATCGCTGGTTGTAAAATGTCCAAATCTTTGAAAAACTTTATTACAATAAAAGATGCACTTAAAAAACATACAGGTGAGACCTTTATTTCATTAGGGAAGAAGTGGTCCCCAGTATTTTAAGAATATTTCATTTTTTAAGAATGCTGGGTAGATAGTAGTTAGCTATTACATGTTTGACTTCCTTTTCTTATATAATAATGGTGGGATTTGCAGTTAAGATTATTTTATGTTGTAATGAACATTGTGGTTTTTGCAGCAGCCATATTGTGCTGCACATTTCCTTTTCACTTTTTTAAACTCTCAACAGCTCGGCAATTACGGTTGGCTTTTCTTATGCACTCTTGGAAGGATACACTGGATTATTCAAACAACACTATGGAATCTGCTATTCAGTATGAGAAATTCATGAACGTAAGTTAACTTCCTCTCTTTGTGTTTTTAGCTGAACAGATACTGAGACATAATGTGAAAAGCGACATGCATTCTTTTCTGCTGAGTATATATGTATTCTGTATATTAAATTAGTTGCTTACATAATATTAACAAATTAAGGGTGCAGTCTTAAGGCCTCCTGACATCCTCTGGGAAGCCAAAGGATTATTTGGAGCCCCAAGTCTAAAATCTTGTAATCTCAGAGCTGGCACTCTTAAGGCTGAGCCCCCTCACAGGTGGAGCAGGAAGAAGTACACCTGTTGGACCTCAGAGGGGGCAAGATGGGAGTGTTGGAGGATGGGAAGGACTGGAGAACTTATGCCAATTCCTGTCATTGTCCCAGCTTCCATCCCTCTCCCTCCTCAAGGCTTTCTCTATACAGCTAAAAGCAGAGATTGCTGCTGCTGTGGCTAATTCCTGTTAGTTGCAGTGAGGTTGTAGCACATAGAATGGTGCCCCAAACTCGTTATTCTGGTTTCCTTTTTGGCATTTACTTCACAGTAGAAAATATATAATTTCAAAAACAAAAGATTGAAATGATAAATCTAGCACTTAACAGGTTGTTTTAATTTAGTCTGGTACACAAAGTTTTAGATTTTAGCATGAAATACCAGATCTGAAATCAAACCTAACTTGACTCAGTATTGCAAAGAGAAATGTAAAAAGTGCTCTCTTCCTTAAGAGCATTAAAAAAAAGTCTTGCTGGTTCAGATCATTGGTTCATTCAGTTCACACAGTGGCAAGCCAGCTGCCCACAGGATCCTTCAAGGAAGATGGGTACCTGAGTTCCATGTGTCCATGCTCCTCAGCAGCTGGTGTATGCAGCCATGCTGCCTCTGGTAGCAAGGCTAGCAATCATTGATAGCCTCTCTTTCATGCATTTGTCTAATCCCTCATAAAATCATCCAAACTGGTGACCATCTCCTCTTCCTGTGGCAGTGAATTGCACAGCTTAACTATGTGCTGTACTTTTATCTGTCCTAAATCTTCCACCATTCAGCTTCATAGGTACTATTATGGGAGAGGGAGAAAAATGTCTTCCTCTCTACTGTTCCTTAACTGTCTCTGCTTTCTGAAAAACATCTTTTCATTCTCTGGTAGTCCCAGAGAAATCAACTGAAAGACCTTTAACTGTTCTTTTCTTTACATTCAGTGGTTGTAGAACAAAATATAAGGCAGGCCTACTTGCCTTGCTCCACTGAGCCAAAGAAACCCCAGTCACCATGTATGCTTATCCCCAGGGGCGGTGTTGGCTTGCTGCCTGCCTGGAACTACATGAATAAGGAATTGCCATGCATTTGGCAAATCTAAATGCATGGCAAATAGGTTCCAAATTATGTAGGCCCATGGTAAAGGCTGTAGAACACAAGCACATAAGAATGCACCATTGTGTGATATGGCATAGCAACAGAATATTTTGGAATCAACCAAGGATAAAGCTAGCAGGTGATTAAACTGAGCAAAAGAAGGAACTCTGTTCATGCATGCATTTTGCTTGATAAAGATCCCAGTATGGATTGAAAACATATTGCTGTAAGATTAGTTCAGATGTGCATCTTCTTTGCCGAATATATTATTGCAGGAAGAGATTTTCTTCAAAGTGCTAGCTTCAGAAATAAAAGTAGCATGCAACTTTCCTACTCCATCATTAATTATTACCAATTCCTTTCTAAAAGGAAAGGAATTCTAAAAACTGCAAGACATGGTGCTGTGGTCTTTAGTACTAAGAATTTTGAAGGCTTTGTATTTTGTTAGCGGTATTTTGAGGGGTGTGGGAAGCACACTTAATATGTGCTTCTCACACACCCCAAGGTGACAAATTAAGGTGACCAATGTAGCTCCAAGAGACTTGATGTCAAAAGTTGCTAATGATCTGTTCTGGACAATTTTACTATTCCACTGACCTGTATGAGATGAAAGGATCTTAGAAAAACAGAGCAGGACTTTCCCTATCTTTTATCTTTATGAAGTTTATGAAGATCAAGGTAGAAATGATGGCCCAAGGTAAGAGCCACTGTAGCAAAAGAGAGAGAAGGCACTCCTGTTGCTCAACAGAAATACTGTAATGATTTGGATTCAGTCATGACCAACTTTCAATTTATTACATTAATCCCTGATAAAATGTGAAGAGATTAGTCATCCAAGTGCTATACCAATGGCAACGATTTTTGGAAAATATACTGTCTTTGGAGAGAAAAATATTGTTATCTAGTAACATCTTACAAAGAATTTAGGTAAGCACCCCATAAAGAGAAGGTCAAGACATCTGTTGGAGACTCCAGTGGTACAATAAGTGCAGTGATTTTTTCTGATTTCCCCTTTTCCTGTGCCTCCTTTTACATTGTTCTGGAAATTTTCACCACTCCTACAGAACAACTTTTCAGGAGTCACAGGGAGGAAGGAAGAATCGGCAAAAAATTGTCTCCCCATTTCCTCTCATAAGAGTGCAGTTTTTCTGCCAGGAGCACTGGATCCAATCTATTGACATTTTTATAATTCCCATGAGATAGAGTAATGAAAAAAGAACAGTAATATAACAGAGTATTTCACAAATTACAAAAAAATACAAATGTAGGTATAGTTTTAGAACCTTACATTAGTAAAGGTCCTAAATATTGCTATCATATTTAGTAAGGATGGGGAACCCATGACCCTCCAGATGTTGCTGCACTTGAGTTCCCATTGCCATTGATCATATTGACTGGGGCTTGGTGTCCAACAATATTGGACCTCTGGTATGTTCTTCACCTCTGGTAGGATTTACATAGAAAAAAAGGATGTTTAATAGAGGCTTCCATTTACGAATGTAATAAATGAATACATTTTAACTTGAAAAATACCTGGTTTAGCTGAACCTTTAGACAATTTTATTTAATGTGTTATGATTTTCTATAAGTACAGTTTCCCAAACAATTTGATCCCAAATATATGAAGCAAATATGGGTTAATCCACAGCTTTCCATTGCTATGTAGCTTCAGTATAAGCAGCAATAATAAGGTGTTTGTGTAATAAATTGCTCATCACAGCAGGAAACAGTATCTAAAAATATATTTTGGGTTTAAGGTTAACAGCTTGGCTTGTTTTACTAACCTCTTCTTATACCTGGGCTTTAAATCTAGGCCTTTCAGATATATTTGTTTAAAATGGCCTTTCCCAACCTGCCACTTTACAGATAGTACGTCTGACTATAATTCCCACCACTCATTGCCCATGCTGGCTGTGGGTGAAGAAAGTTGTAATCTGACATGTCTGCAATTTAAGTGGATTTGGTTGACTGCAAACATCAATAACGTTTTTGTTAATATTGTATGTTATGCTAAGTGACTGCTTAGAAAACAGCCATTTGAATGCAGGTTAGAAACACACTTTTCTAAGCAGAGTAGTGTGCAGATCCTTTTCTTAACTGTAAATAAGTCTCATATGATTATTGAACTAGCTGGTCAGTATACTTTGCTGCAGGAAGATTTAAGCTTGTGGGCTTTTTCCCCTCCTGTTTTTAGGAATTCTTTTTAAACGTGAAGGACATCCTTCGGACGCCTGCTGATGTGACAGGTCAGTTTGAAAAATGGGAAAACCAGGAAATAGAGTTGAATAAAAGGTGAGTGAGAGTGTTTTTATTTTTTCCCTTTCATCATGAATGAATACTTGTATATTCATGGCAATGGATCCCATTTTTCAAACTGGCATTTCCTTTTTTGTGCAAATACATTCTTCGATGGTGCTGCATTTCTACAACACTTTCCCCTTGAATCTCAATTACTTGCTAATTCACATATCAACTGGAAGCCTACATGTTTTCATATGCTTCTTGACCCCTTTCTCTCTTCCATGTATGTCATGTTTGACATAGGTATATTCTCCAGTCTATTTTTACTTACATAGGAGACTCAGATGCTATGTTGTTCAGTCATTTTATTTCTTACAGAACTGATGTCCTACTGTTCTTCCTTTGGGTTATACCAAAGTGTCAAACAGTAGCTCATGAAGAATTAAAAAGCTAGAAAAATATGAAACAAACCTTCTGCATAAAATGCAGAAAAGGGACAAATAAAAAGGTTTTGCTACCTCATTAGAAGACTTTAAAATATTCAGCAAGATGGTCCCTGACCTCCGAGTTTCAATTCCAGTATCCAGTGTCTTATCTTGTCCTCTGAAATGGAACTCTTAAGAGGAACAAGGCATAGACACCTTTAACATGTTGAGAGACAAGGAGAGGGTGGAGGATCTGAGGCATTACAGTTGATCTTGGACATCAGTTCTCATCATTTCTAACTAATGGCTATGCTGGCTTCATAGTTTATCAAGGTGTTTTTACCAAATTAATTTAAAGCAGGAACTTTAGTCTCCTCATGCCCATGTCTGGGGAGAGGAACATGTGAACCCAAGGCTCAGTGCAACTTATTTTCATAATGCTAACCGATAGGATGAAATCCTAAACAAGTCTTATTTAAAGTAGACCCATTGAAATGAATGAAACTTGGGTTAATCGTGATTACTTTAAGTCCCATTCTCATTTCAAAAGGGTTACTCTAACTAGGATTTACATTGGATTTTATTCTATGGGTTAGCATTATCTGGACTGTTTAAATAACTTCCAGAATGTCTTGTAAATCCATTCAGAAGGGTGTAGCATATATTCACCATGACTAGTTGCTATTGATAGTTCTATCTTCCTCTAAATGCCATTTAAGTTGGTGTTGATCACCACATCTGTTGGCAACAAATCCCATTGTTTAATTATGTGTAAAAGTGGGGTGGGGAGATACTTCCTTTTGTCTGTCCTCAGTCTTATACCACTCAGCTTCATTAGATAGAATCCAGTACTAGTACTTGAGGACAAGGAGAAAAGCTTCTCAATCCATATTCTACAGACACATGTACTACATGGGTTGCCACTGAACTCTGGGTTGTAAATTCTAAATTGTGGTTAACTATGGTTTGTTAGAGTAGCTGGGTTTACGCCACGCAACAGTTTGTGATTTAACAGCAAACCATACTCTGGGTTGTTATTGCATGGCAACTTGGGCAGTGAACCATATTTGGAATTTTAGTATCCATCCACCCAGTTTGGAGAGGTCCTTTTGGAAGATGCTTGAAGCTTCCTTCTCTTAGAAGGTCAGAAGCTTTGACCCATTCAGATTGCTTAGGAATGTCATAAATAACATTTTTGTCCCTTTATCTTTTTTCTTGGCTAGTTTTTATGACAAGAAAGTAGCAGTCCATGAAGCATTGTGTGATAATATTGATACACGCACAGTGTTGGAAGAAATGCGGTCACTTGTCAGTCAATGTAATTGCTACATTGCTGCAAAGAAGACAGCCAGACAGATGCCAAATAGAATGCTGCTAGAAAATATAAGCATCTTTCTTACACAGATGTTCAAGGTATGGGATACTGATCAAAGCTTTTGAAGAATTCTGTGTGTCACATTTACGTTTTTTAGACTAGAACTTGCAGACTGAATGTGTAATTCAGAAAGAAAACTGCTATGCTTTATGAAGTCGGAATGTGACTGTATTATGATTTTATGATTCTGCTGTTCTCCAGAAATTGACATGACCTTTCACGATGATATAGTATTTATACAGATACGATGAAAATGAAGTGCCCATGCTTCCAGGAAGCTGTGCTTTGCCAGCCCTTCCCAGCAGTTTCTGACTGCAGCTGTGGCTGCTCACAGATACTAGCCTTGCTAAAACAAGTTCAGGAGTAAATATTCTCTTGGGTCTAGTTCTCAATGACTGGCGTCTGAACTTTAACACTTCAGATTCTGCAGATGGGGTCTGGAATGATTGGATAACCAGCAGGAGTCCCATGGTCCCTGGGGAAGCATCCCAAGGACCATGAGAGAATTCAGATTTCTTCCTCTAAGGCTGAAGGCAATACTCTGACTCTGGAAGTGGGGTTTGGACATCTAACATCTTTCTCCAGCCCCTTCATGGCTGGTGCTGAGAGCTGTGCTGGCCGCCTTTTTGAGGCTGGAAACCCAACATCAGAAAGGAGGAAAAGGGGACATTCTGGTGGTTGTGGAGGAGAGGGACTGGTGCTTCCTCCAGCCTCCTTTTCTTCCTCCCATAGCAGAGGACACTGGGGGCTGTAGTATTAATGCACCTCATCTGTGCAATATGGTGCATTTGTCCTTTCAGCTTTTCTTAAGGTTAGACCCAGCTGTAAGTCTAAGAACCAGCAGACAGGTGGCAATTTCACTACTTCCTCCTTTTCTCTTTAACTCTCAATACCATATCCCATACATTTCAGGAAGGGACATTTTTCAGGAAGGAGGGATCAACAAAAATCATCCTCCCCCGCTACTCCAGTGGAAACTCTTGATCCCAGCCTTAGTATTAGAATTTACCTCCTTTTTGCAGGAAAAGTGAGCAGGATGACTCAAGTTCTCTTTCACATTCCTTTAGTTGGAATTTTTAGCTGTGTTAAAATACCTACTGGCATGTATGAATGAGTGCATAGGTGTTAGTATGTGTTTCCCTTGCACAGGTCTTTGGTGCTATAGAAAGTGATGATGCGATTGGCTTCCCAGTTGGAAGAAATGGTCCAAACTTCAATGTAAGTAGATTGGGAAATGCACTTTGACAGTTTCAGCTCTGTTCATGGCTTTTAGAATGATTGGGTTACACGCTGATGCAAAGCCAAGCTCTGTGCTGTTGTGAATATGTAATTGCAAATTAAATCTGCAGAACTATTCCATTTGTATTTGGATGTGAAAACAGATTTTCATTGAGAATCTTCTTGGGCTTCTAGGAAATCACTGTATAGTATAGTTGTGGCAACTATATTAATCTTTATTATCTTTTTAAAATCTTGCTAAATCAAATTCATCCCTGGAAGTACAGAAAGCTACAAATGTTGCGTTAGCAACAGAATCAATGCACTGTTTGGGGGCACACTTAAGGATATTATTAGAGGGGCACTGTGATATCAAAAAATGAACTCTAACTCTCTTTCAATTTAGCTTCTCTCTTACTTCACATCCGCCAGCAACTGAGCCATGCTGTTTGAGCTCAAAGGAGGCTTCTGCAGTGATGCCCCTGCCATGCCACAGTGCACCATGTTTTAATTGACCTCAGTGAAGTTGGTTGTTGCAGAGCCAGATTGAGACCTGTCCTTTCAGGGAACAGGAAGACCAAGAGCAAAATAATAAAATGAAGCCTCATCCTCCCTGCCTCAAAGCTCCTTGGCCTAATAGCCCTTCTTCTCTTATTCCCATCTGCACTGTAAAGCTTGTCGAGAGATATGAAGGGTTTCAGTAGCCTATTCTTACCACTGTACCAGAAAGTCATGTAGCTGTGAAGGAGAAGATGTGGAAAAAATGTGAATGCAGGTGATTTCTGTCTCAGTCAACCAAATGTTTTGTTTTGCAGCTTGAATCTACAGTAATGCCGTATCTACAGGTTTTGTCTGAATTCAGAGAAGGTGTAAGGCAAATTGCCAGAGAAAAGAAAGGTATGGTTAAGTGTATGTTTTTTATATGTAGAAACTTTCAGGAATATGTGGCTTTTATAAAGGAATTAATGCTTTTTTATATGGTTATGGTTGCTAGCACACCTTACCAGTTCATTCGTTCACATACACATATTCATTTGTGCTCCGGAGGTTTTTCAGCCAAAAACTAGGGATGTTTCAGAAGAATACTGTCTGCATTTAACTCAGGTTTTACTTTTTGGTTTTATTCTCCAGTCCTGAAATTGTTAAGGCCTTCAGTAAGATGTGTCTAGAATTACTTTGTGTGCAGGTACATGTGTATGAATATCTATGTGTATATCTACTGAGCTGGGAATTTCTGTGAAGAGAAATCTGCTTATGACATGTTCTTGTTGGAGTGAGTGGGGAGGCAATTTTCATCTTTTCCTCCTTCCCCTAAAAAGCTGCTGCAGAGGGTTGTGGAACCCTCCAGAACAGTCTGTGAGCTTGTTCAGAGAGCTGTGGAAGTGCAGGAGTTTGCAACATTAACAGTGAAAGTATCTAAAGAGAAGAGAGATGGGGTGGAAAAGTTACCACCATCACAGCTGAGACATCAAGGAGCACCCCTCAGGGTTGTGGCTTAGTCAGATTTACTCCTTCACAGCCTTTCCCCCTCATTTTTCACCTCAGGCTGATGGCTCAAATTGGAGCTGGCTTCTCAGCTGACTAGACAGATCACCTGAGGACTGGAGGTCACAGTTTCTTGAAGGCTCCTGCTCCCTCCACTGTTACTACTAGCATCTATTCCAGCAGGCTGGCCTAAGAGAGATGACAGGGAGAGCAGGGCCATTCTGCTGATGGTGCTCTCATGAAGGCCTCTCTTCCTCCAGCCGTTGCAGCCAGCAGCCCTTCCAGCAGGCTTTGCAGAGGGGGAGAGTAGGGGCATTTCAGCAGCACTGCTGAACAATCTGATGCCCTCCTCCTTCCTGCCCCATTCCATTTTCTTTGTGCATTTAAGCCTGTAGGCAAGAACTGCCTTATTGCAACATAAAAGTGCTTTAAACAAATGAATCACCATCAGGGCACACTGGCTGGAAAAGTTTAAATTTCCTCATTCAGCACACACCATGATATCAGGGAATGAGTGTCTCCTAGAGATAGCAGTTTGAGAAGAGTGTAAGAGAGAATGGTGTGCATGTGTGCTTGTCTTTGCAAATAGAGCGTGTGAAAATAGGGTGGTACATGGTCTCAGTGATATCCATCCACAGCTGGTATGTGGCCTTTAGTGCCCACTCCTAGGGCGAATTTGGCTCTTGGCTGAATCTGCTTTAAACAGATGTAGGAGACATTGGCCTTTATGTTTCTAAAGCACTGAACATAATTCTATGTGGATCCCAGTTAGGAATATTCTGGTTTTTGGTAGATGAATGCCCATAGTATTTCTTTCTTTCTTTTGAAATATATGTAGAGTGTCATCTTATTATTGCATAGTAAGAACTTTAGTGCTCGGTGTCTGGTGCTACCTTCATCTCAGTTTCACTCCTCTAGAGCAAGTTTCAGAAAAAGGAAAGGAACCGGTCTGTTCCCTTAGTGCTGGTTGTATTTGTTAGTGTTTTTGAAGCTAGTAGTTGCCATATGTGAGTCTGCTGCTGGGAATTATATTTATATGGTTGAGTTGCTGCATCAAGACAAAGGGCTCCAAGCAGCAAGTATATCTACTTCCCATAAAATTCTGAGCAAAAAGCATGTAATTTCTTTCTGTTCTTGCTTATAGGCATTGAGTAGCCTCATGATTTATACGCAGGAAACTTTTTCCCAAGAGACTTAGAGTTACAACAAAGTGCTCTTTCAAACATTGTTGACCATACCCTCTTGCTTTTGAACAGAAGGCCCTGATTGTGGGATATTAAAATGCTATGCAAATAAAAGTTCTTTTATTCATTGTACAAGAAGAACAGATACTGGAAACCCTGAGAGCGACATTGGTCATTCTTAGCACAGAGTTGGTTTACTGTCTGAATGTTCTAGTGATAACACACAGTGAAAGAAAAGTACCCAAAGAAGGTTGGATAGCTGTACATTGAAAAGAAATTATTTGTAATGAAACCCTGCCAGGAAATGTCTGTGGATTTTCAGCTTCTCACTTAAGAGACAAGAAACCTTGAATTACAAGTTTGCTCCTGTACTTTTGGTTATATTATCTACCTTGAGAAAAAGTACTTTCCAATAGATGTGCCTTTAGAAATCTAACTGGCCACAGTTCATCCAACCCATTTATGCGTATAGGCCTGCAATCCAAATGTTTTTCAAATCTGCTTTGGTATTTCACCTCTCTCTGCACTGCTTGCATTACTAGTTGTTTTCTCATAGCTGAAATGCTTTGCCCAGTGCATTTGGAGGGGTGCTAATGTGCTGAAAAAGAGACAGTTCCTTTAATGTGGATTTGGCACATGCCTTCCTCTGGATTTTTGCCACTATCACAGAAAGCATTTGTTGCTAGGGTCTCTCTGAAAATGCATTATTGTTGCACACACAAGACATGAAGTATTTCATGAGGCCATGATATTAATTCTTCAGAAAATATACTGCCATGGATAATGTTCTTCATGTTTCCCATTCTCCTTTATCCAGAAGGAGTCCTCCCTGGCCGCTAAAATTTCATTATTCGTGGACTTAGACTGGTGAGAATTTCTAACTCAGGAAGGCATCAGTGGAGGGCAACTGCAAAGAATACTACCCTTGCAGAGCATGTCCAGCTGTGTTTCACCTATTCCTGTCAATGCTTTTCAGATTTTTTTTAAATGAATTCTGATTTTTTGATGGCGTTCATCAGATTTTCTTTAACTACTAAGGATGAAGATACTCAAGTTGGAAGCAGATGTTAAATCAGGGTAGATTAGGCCTAGCAGCTCCAATAAAATGGATTCCTCCCCATATAAGAGGAAAGAGTGCTGGGTAAGAACCCAATTTGTATGAACACTTCATTAAGCGCTAGTGGACTACACCACAAGCTTAAGCAAACCTGTTAGCATATGTTTACTCATAAGTTAGTCCCATTATGTGTATTTATTCAGAAGTATGATGGCAGAAAGTGAAGAGGAACTAAAGAGCCTCTTGATGTCGGTGAAAGAGGAGGGCGCAAAAGCTGGCTTGAAACTCAACTTTAAGAAAACTAAGATCACGGCATCTGGTCCTCTCACTTCCTGGCAAATAGATGGGGAAGAAATGGAGGTAGTGACAGACTTCATTTTTCTGGGCAGGCAGACAGTGACCGCAGCCAAGAAATTAAAAGACGCTGGCTCCTTGGGAGGAGAGCTATGGTAAATCTAGACAGCATACTAAAAAGCAGAGACATCACCCTGCCAACAAAAGTGCGTATAGTCAAGGCTATGGTTTTCCCAGTTGCAATGTATGGCTGTGAAAGCTGGACCATAAGGAAGGCTGAGCGCCGAAGGATTGAGGCCTTTGAATTGTGGTGCTGGAGGAGACTCCTGCGAGTCCCTTGGACTGCAAGGCGATCAAACCGATCAGTCCTAGGGGAGATCAACCCTGACTGCTCTTTAGAAGGCCAGGTACTGAAGATGAAACTCAAATACTTTGGCCACCTAATGAGAAGGAAGGACTCCCTGGAGAAGAGCCTGATGCTGGGAACAATAGATGGCAAAAGAAGAAGGGGACAGCAGAGGATGAGGTGGCTAGATGGAGTCACTGAAGCAGTTGGTGTGAATTTAGGTGGACTTTGAGGGATGGTGGAGGACAGGAAGGCCTGGAGGAATGTTGTCCATGGGGTCGCGATGGATCGGACATGACTTCACAACTAGCATAGCATAGCATGTCTCCATATTTCCTAACGGATGTTTTCCCTAGTATGATTAGGATTACAATTTACTGTGAGTCTTTGGAAGCAGTGACAGATCGTTTTTGCTTAGGATTGGGATGGTACCACTATGGAGGCTTGCTGAACCAGATCTTTGTGCTGAGACCTGGGCAAAATACTGCCAGTCAGAGAAGGGTTACATACAGCACTGGGTTTCAAGGGACGATGGTCCAGTAGTGGCACCTGATATTCCCACCTTCAACATTTCTTTGCTCAGCTTATGTCACACTGCAGGGTGTTTGCTTCTATGCTCACTCTTTCATAAATAGTATAGCTAACATTTTCAAGCTGGGTATCTCTTTCATCTCCCTGCGTTACTGAGCCTTCTGAGAAGCAAGATAGCCATTATAATATCTTTTAAAGATAGCATGGTAACATTTTGAGAAGTCATTAGGAGCTTTCATCCAAAAGGGAGAGAGCAACCCCTCTGCTACATGGTATGTTGAAAGGTGGTCTTCATTGCTCATAAAATGTGCAGCTGACTGAAAGACATTTCATTCCAATTGATGTTAGCTGTTATATTTTCATTGTAATTGCAGTGCTCGAAGTTCTGCAGCTTTGTGATTCTCTTCGAGATGATGTCCTGCCTGAGCTTGGAGTTCGGTTGGAAGACCATGATGGTAATTACGTTGTAAATACAGTTTGTGCTGCAATGCATCAGGACTTACCTAATCAAGATTTCCTGCTTTTGGTTTCCCATTTATAAAATGAAAACCTAATGATGTGTCTCAAGGTGTGGCTATGAAATGAATCAGGCCTTTCCAGCACCTTGGCCACGTAAGGGTGCAGAAGGAAACACATATATGCAGAAGTTGGAAAATTTCAGTTAGATCAGTCAAAGTTTCTTTCAAATAAGGTTTGGATTGGGATGTGAAATAGAAATAACAGCAAATAATGTGTTGCAGCCACTGCTTGAGCCTGCCAGTGGAACAGTTCTGGTGGAGATTTCAGGGGCATGCAGGAGGCTGCAGAGGTACAGACAGCGAGTGCAAGTCCACTCAGAGGCCACTGGCTTTAACTCTCTTATAGTAAGAGACTATAGGTTTCTCAAATGAGACTCTTCTTGTTCGTAGGATTTTCAACCTAGTAAAATGTAAGTGGATTCTCTCTTTATTTTCAGAAGTGTGCTGCTAATTTTAATGAAGGGTAGAATCCTGCCAAAGTTAAATATTTTCAAATCCAGACAACTTGAAATCAATGAGTTTTAAGGATGGTTCATTTTAGCTTCCCATTGGTCTTGAGGCAGGATTTACATGCACATACTAGTTTATTATGTTAAATTACTAAAAACTGCTGTAATCAAGGCTATATTCCCACAAGAAGTTATGCATTACCTATGTGGGTTACATATCCACAATTGTGCAATGTTGTAGCTGAAGAAATTAATATAGGTTGTTTGCAGTACTCCCATGAGTCCCATTCCAGATGAGAAGATTTTTACTGAAAAAGTAACTAAACATCCAGGGCAAAATCCTTCATATGCAAGCATTTATGCCTGTACAGAATAGGGCATAACAGAGATGCGTAGCACGGCATGGGCATCATATTTCCCCTCCCGCTATGGGAGTGCATAATCAGAGTGCATAGTCATTACAGCAGGACAAAATGGGTTACAGGGGGCTTGTGCAGGTCTCCTGTATAGGAAGGCCAGGCAAGGGTATTTCAGCAGGCGGAACTTGCACTGCTATAGGTAGAGCTGTTGAAATTCCCCCTTCTGCACAATTGTTAAAGGGTCAGGAAGCCTGCATCCATTTGCATTGGCCACCTTGCGCTTGCATTCCATCGAGTCCTCCCAAGAGCCGATAAACTCTGAGCTCTCCGTGCATGAGTGCCAGTGCAGAAAATAACTATGCCCCAACAAATGTGATACCATTTTTTGAAATTACCAATTTAGTGGAAGACTTTCATTTTATTCATTCATCTTCTGTCTTTTGCTGTGAATAGCCACAAGGTAGTTTATAATACTACCTACAATTATGTGAGCTGTCTTAGATTCCTTGGTGGAAAAAATGTGGACTACAAAAAATGTGGACTACAAATACAGTTATACTAACTATTGTTTAAATAAAAATGTAAAACAAAAATACAAGGTTGCAGACTGTCAGTATGTGCAGCAGACATAATTTCATCATGCATGCATATGATTTCAAGCAGTTGTTCAAAACTGAACATAACTGAACATATTTAAAGGGTACATTCACTATAGGCTATTTCACTGATCATTACATAATTTTCTTTGAAAACCATTTTCCAGTATTTTTGCTCCTCCTCGTCTGTCATGGCAATGAAAAGTCAGTAGCTCAGGGAACATGGTCTTGGAATCCTGGTCATGCAAGGTTCCCTTTGGGGCAACTATGCTTGCACCAAATAGGTGAATAAGTGTGACCAATTTGTCCTACCCTACCTAGACTACTTTGAATAGTACTGACAGAATTTTATTAAAAATGTACTGGAATGGTGTTGGCCATTTTACCCTTCCAGGCCCAGTCTGAGATAATATTCTCATAAGAAACTTGGGGCTTGGCTTTCCAGACCATCTTTATTAGGCTTTTGGGGTATGAAAGTTAGAAAGCCCCAGCAGAAAAATTCCTTTCTTTTTGAGGAAAAGCAGTAACTTTAGAGCCTAGCCTGCACGGCCAAGATTTCCAAATATAGGATCATGTGTAGTGTTTGAACTGATCATTTACTGTTTTTGTTTATGTACACTATTAGGCTAGATATACAAACATAGTGCCACATTTCAACATTTACTTCTTTTTATTTTGTGTTTTGCCCTCAGGACTCCCAACTGTGGTCAAGCTAGTGGACAGAGACACCTTACTAAAAGAAAGAGAAGAAAAGAAAAAGGTTCTACATTTCTTTTTTTGGTCATATGCCCAATTTATTTTATTTCCTTAGATTAAAATTATTGTAAACTGTCTTAATGGAATACTGTCTTCTGAAATAAGACTTTGCTACAATTTTATTATGTTTGCATCAGGGATCATTTGATTTAAATCAGATAGATTTAAATCACAGTTTAAACCATTAGTAACACTACATTTAAATCATGGCTATCTACATAATTTGGACACATACCTGCCTTACACAGAGGTAGAGGAACTTCATTAAAATATTCCCAAACTGAGACTGGCATTATAGGTTTCCCCCCCACCCCCCTGGGGAAAGAATAATATAAACCTCAGACTAGACACAAAGAGATCCAAGGACTTGTGGAGTATTCTGCTGAAAAGGGTTCACTTTTTTACTGCTTGACCCTTCCTCCTCACTTTAGCTTCTTGTGCAGATCTATTCCACTCCCAACAGTCTCCTTCATTCACTGAATTTTCTTGAAACTCAGCACTTAAGCGGTAAGGGGTTGATTCTGTGTGTGTGTGTGTGTGTATTTAAAACATTTCTATGCCGCCCCCATCGCAACAAAGCCTCGGGGCGGCTCACAACAAAAACAAAAACAAACAAAATCATATAAACATTATACACTAAAAATATTAAAACCCGGTGCATCTCGGCTTAAAGTTTTTTTAAAATCCTACATAATAAATTAACACTTAAAATAAGTTTTAAATAAAAAGGTCTTAGCCTGGCACCGAAAAACAAATGACGGCGGCGCCAGGCGGACCTCTCTGGGGAGCGCATTCCATAGATGGGGCGCCACCACAAAGAAAGCCCTCCTCCGGGTACTCACCCTCCAAATACCATTCACAGCATCTGTTGCTGATCTCAAGGGGCTGGAGGGCATATATGGACGCCAGCGTTCCTTTAGATACCCAGGGCCCATGCCTTTGAGGGCTTTATAGGTCATAACCAACACCTTGAATTGGGCCCGGACTTCAATTGGGAGCCAGTGGAGCTGACGGAGAACTGGGGTTATATGAGAACAACGCCCAGTCCCCGTCAGCAGCCTGGCAGCTCTATTCTGCACCAATTGAAGTATCCGGACCATTTTCAAGGGTAGCCCCATGTAGAGCGCGTTGCAGAAATCTAATCAGGAAGTTAACAATGCGTGTGTCACTGTCACCAGGCAATCGTTCTCCAGGAAGGGACGCAGCTGATGGATCAGCCGAAGCTGAAAGAAAGCGCTCCTCGCCACCGCCATCACCTGGGCTTCTAAAGACAGCTCAGGGTCGAGGAGCACTCCTAAGCTGCGAACCCTGTCCCTCAGAGGGAGTGCAACCCCATTTAGGACAAGGCCCAAGTCCCCCATCCCGAGTCCTGAACCACCCACCAACAGGACCTCCATCTTGTCTGGATTGAGCTTCAGTTTATTGGCCCTCATCCAGCCCATTACCTCGGCCAGGCACCAGTTCAGCACAGCCGCTGCCTCACCTGGATTGGTGGAAAACAAGAGGTAGAGCTGGGTATCATCAGCATACTGATGATTCCACAGCCCACACCTCCTGATGACCTCTCCCAGCGGTTTCATGTAGATGTTAAACAGCAAAGGGGACAAAATGGACCCCTGCGGAACTCCATGGCATAACTGCCATCACGCAGAGCCATAGTCCCCCAGCACCACCTTCTGAAATTGGCCGTTGAGATGGGAGCGGAACCACCGCCACGCGGTGCCTCCAACTCCCAATCCCGCCAGTCTATTCAGAAGGATACCATGGTCAATGGTATCGAAAGCCACTGAGAGGTCCAGGAGAACCAACAGGGACGCACTCCCCCTGTCTCTCTCCCTGCACAGGACATCGTACAGGGCGACCAAGGCAGATTCAGTACCGTACCCGGGTCTGAAGCCGGACTGAAATGGGTCCAGATAATCACTTTCATCCAAGAATGCTTGGAGTTGTCCCACCACCACCCGCTCTAGCACCTTTCCCAGGAACGGGATGTTGGCCACTGGTCTATAATTGGCGGCCACCTCTGGATCCAGGGATGCCTTCTTTAGGACTGGTCGGACTACCGCCTCTTTTAAAGAGGACGGTATCCGACCGTCTCATAAAGAGGCGTTGACCAGCTCCAGGATCCAGGTGCCAATCCCGTCCTTGCTTTCTTAAGTAGCCAGGATGGGCATGGGTCTAGTAAGCAGGTGGTAGGGCGTACTTGTCCAAGCACCTTGTCCACATCATCAGGCCGCAACAACTAAAATTCATCCATTAATTGTGGACTCGACGGTGTCGTTGGCATCTCCTCAGTAGAATCTGGTTCAATAGTAGAGTCAGTAGAATCTGGTTCAATAGTGTACACAGATTTGCAAAGGAACAATGGGATTCAGGTCTTTTTCTCAACTTTGCATTGTTCATTTTATAACATTTTTGCTGTGAAGAAGAGGCACATGATCTCTGGAGACATGAATTCATAGTTTTGGGAACTGTAAAGCTAATCATCTGTGATGATATCTTATAGATTAAAAATGCCCAGTAATCTTACAGAAACCTCTGGAAGAGTGTGACATTGTGAATGGATTAAGAAAATTCACTTTTTATAGCCTCATGCTATATAATCAAAAAGTAATCCTTATTTCACAATGAATAACCTTTGGACTATAATGTATCTTAAATAGAAAAGTATTTTTAGTTTCTTCAAAAAGCATTTTATTTTAAAAATTCAATTTAAACTTAAAAAATCCAATTTCAGTCAAAGAATCCAATGTAAATAAAATATTTTGATCTTATTTTTAAAAAAAATCATTTGAGTTTTATTCACCCTGGTTTGCACTGACACATACACATGTGGAATTTGTTAAGCTGATAGCTGTAGTTTCACATAAAGTTCCACATATATGCAATTCAAAGAACCAACTGCTCTGAAGTGTCTAGCACTAATAGCTTGATTTTAGAATGCTGAGTTGTAAAGCATAACTATGGATGACTTATTAAGCTAGTGCATAGTGATTTAATTCTGTATGGTAAATGATCAGGCTTCTCAAATTGGTTTTCAATAGATTGAAGAAGAGAAAAAAAGGAAGAAAGAAGAAGCTGCAAGAAAGAAACAAGAGCAGGAGGTACATAACCAGTTTAAAACTTAAACTTTTGGCTTTTGTAAACAGCAGTGATGTCAGCCAAGAAAGGATATGTTTCAAGCATTATCTTGTGCGCATAATGTTACTTTATTCTTCTCTGATACATAAGGTGCGAGGAGAGGCCAAATTAACACAAGAATCTTAGTCCACCTATACGTGGCTGGTGAATCACTTACTGCATGAGCACAAACCCTATTCACTTTGCTAGGTCCCTCATGGCACTCCATGACCCTTAGCTGAATAGCTTGACAAACTGCACCTGTTGAAATATCCTCTTCTACACAACCATGAAAGATGCAGCAGCCCTGTCTCCTCTTGCATCTGGCTACCCGAGATGGCTGAAATGTTTTCAGGTGAAACTAACTCTGCTTATCTCACAGCCTTTTGCCCTAAATATGCAGTAAACTCGCTGCCTCCTATCTCTCCACCCCTACCATGAGAGTACTCAGAGTCTGACTTGATGCTTCTGACATGCACTTTGGCAGTGTCCTGCAGTCAGATTCTAATCTTGCCAGTTATACAAACCTGCAGAACTAAGCATTTGTCTTCTGCATAGAAGCCTGTCTATTTATATGTTTATATGACTTCAACGAGACAGCTGCACTGAGTTGGCATTTTTTTCAAAGATGGATTTTTACCTATGAGAAAGTGAAAGAGCAGGTGCCACTAAAAATTTGCAAGTTATTTTTATGTAATGAAATGTATAATTTGAAAAACATTTTTAAACAAAAAATGTTAAGGGACATATTGCTTTAAAGGGAATTCTTATTCTGTTAAGAGTCGACGCTCTATTAATGTAGAAGAATCCTTTAAAGAGAGTGGTGCTTTTCTTCAGTTATCTCCTTCTCTTTCACTTTTAATTCCAACATGTTCATATATCCATCTTTTATTTATTACAGAAGGGTTGTTAGCAGTGAGAACTAAATGCAGATGGGCTGTTAAGAAGCCAAAATTGTTTGAATATGCATCCATTTTGCCTTGAGTTAATAACATGGAAAGAACTAGATATCCAGACTGAAAGCCATAGGAGAAAAGGACCTTGACATAGAAATATTCTACCAATTTCAGGCACCTCCCTCAATTCTTGAGTGCATAGTCTTTCTCCTTCAGGAATCCTTTATATAGCTCTGACTTAATTCACACATCAGACTAAGCCATGATAGATTGCTGTCATGGGTGGATGGAAAGTGGCATAGCATGGTGCTGAATCTGGAGGAAGTTTCCTGATGTGGGTATTTTCTGAAAATAAGCCACCCTGAGAATCCATGGTTTGTAGTAGGCTTGTTTAGGGTGGCTTTCTTTTTACATCTAAACCCAGGAAGGAGTGAGTTTGTTTGTTTGTTTTCAGGAACAGCTCAACTAGTTGTAGGGAACAACTAGAAAACCAGCCTGTAACAGCAATGAAAATCCCCAGCTCTGCTCTCAGTCTCATCATCTGCTTTTATCAAAGGATGGATTTTCTTTCCACAAGAAACTTGAACAAAGGACACTCATTTTTTATTAATTAATTAATTAAAAGATTTTCTAAGCCGTCTACTACAAACGTCTCGGGACAGCTTACAAAAAAGAAAAAAAAATGTCAGTCCTCTGTAAGTGTACAAGACTGAATGACCGCTACTAATTTTTCCCCCATTTTACACCTCTCCCATGACATTCACACAATTGTGCCTCCTCTATTGTTACTTCCTTTGCCATGAGACTTGTATGATTTCCCCCCCTTTTACTGCTGCTAAGGAATTTAATTTTTTTGTAATCCTGCTTACTGCCGTATACCCTTAAGAGCTAGCAACAGATGTAAGTGGAGGAAAGTGCCAAGTTTATGGGGGCAGCCAAAAGCATCTGGTGACTCCAGGAGAGAAGAGCTTTGGGATGGGTGTGCTTTCATCAGTGTGAGATATACTATGAAGCAAACTTAACAAACAGTATGTGCTAGCAATTTCTGCAAATGAGCTGTAGAAACTCTCCCCACCTACCACATCAGCTTGCAAAAAGGAAATAAAAGCAGCTTGAAAAAAGTAAGAAGTGTTTACTAGGAAGGGAAGCACCAAATTGGGGGGTGAAATAGACAGGTACAAGCAGCAGCAGCTGCATGCAGCAGGAACTTTGGGGGCAGGTATCCTTACTTCAGAGCAACACGCAGCAACAAAACCTTTGCTAGGAAAGAGCCTGCTGAAATGGATGGAGGATGAAATGACACGGTCATTGACAAGAGGCGAATGGGAATATGCTTAACTAGATAGATAGGTGAATTTTTGCAAGCCCCCCTCCCCCCACATCCAAACTTGTAAACATGTTCCAACATTCATCACAGATCAAACAAGAAAGAACCAGAAAGAATATTATTTCCAAAGGAGATGTCATATTTTTGTTTGAAACGCAAAACAATTTAATATCCAAATGCTATTTTTTTCCTATGCTTTTTTGCTTTTTCTCACATCTTTTTGAATCGTTTAGTCTAAACTTTCTTAAAATTCACCCTAAATTTACTGTCTAGAAAAGTTTTGGTATGATCCATACCTAGTCAGAGCGAATATTACATATTCTAGTCAAGCAGTTATGAAATGCTACTGAAATCTTATTGTCTGATTGTGGTATAAATTTATCCCAATTTTGTAATGCTTATTTTATGTTACAGGCAGCAAAACTGGCAAAAATGAAAATTCCACCAGGAGAAATGTTTAAATCAGAGCATGACAAATATTCCAAATTTGATGAAAATGTAAGCATCACTGGTACTTTTCATCTGTTTAAAAGCAGCTGGCACATTCTATTTAAACAGAAACTGCTTTATAATCCAATAATAATGCTGACAGCCATCTAGCAAAGTCATGGCAAAAGTGGGATTTGAACTAGGAAGATCCTGATCTATCAGCCTCTTACCTGCTGTGCTACACCAGCTCTGCATCTTTCTTTGCATTTTTATTTACTTTTTACTGAATTCAAAGGGATTTACAACTCTGCGTAGTATTAAAACCTGTAAATCTTTTGTTACTGTCACATTTTCTAGGTTCTTTTCATAATATATAATCAGCACAATGTCTATGCCTCTCATAAAGAGCAGAATCCCTGTCCATTGGTGTGATGAGGCCTTCTTTCCTAGTTTTGTAGTCCCCTTGAAATTTTGCTCCCGCCTTCAGAGGAGCTAGTGCAGGAATGCTGGTGGTCTCTAGGGAGGAGGGTGAATCAACGCCCAATCAGTTCCACTGTTTGCAGTAGTTCTGCCATTGGAACAACTCATGTCACTTTGCCCTTAAGCGAATATTCTAGTCTCAAATTTTTATTCGTCATTTCCAAGTTTGGTGTATACAATATTTTTCTGTTTTCACAATCTTTTCATAGGTACAAATATGGTTGATTGGTCTTGTATAGAGAAGTATGGGAATATTTTCCTGCCATTCCTATTGATAATGTTTAATGTTGGTTAAGAGATAACACATATGCATCACAGCAGTGCAAACAAATATATTGGGATAATGTGGTCTTATGATACAGAATTAATGTTTTCCAGGGACTTCCAACCCATGACGCAGAAGGCAAGGAACTCAGCAAAGGCCAGATGAAGAAAGTAAAGAAACTCTATGAAGCACAAGAAAAAATGCACAAAGAATATTTACAAATGGCTCAGAATGGAGTTGCAAATTGAGAACAAAACTTGGACAATATAGTTTTTAAATAAATGCAACAGCTGGTTAACCTTGTGGGGCTAATGAGTTTTTACTGGCCTTTGAAGTTGGTGAAATGAAACATACATGAACTAAATATATCATCTGTTTAAATATCAGTACCACTTTTACTTCATCTGGTTCTACCGGGTGGACTGCAAGGTCCATTTAATACTGGGTTATGTAACACAAGTCAGAATGACAAAGAATTGTTAGCTCTCTCTAAGAAAGCATTGACCTGCCTAGGAAGATCACTGTGGATTAAATAAATAAGCCACAGTTGGTTGCAGTACATGCTGGGTGCCTTTTGAATATTCAAGCTGCAGCCAGATTGATGTGTTGTCCAAATCCAGTGGGAATAGGTTGTGCAAGTGTTAAACAAGTCTCACATAACCGATGGCCATTTTAGGGTTCCTTAACCCTTGCACAACTCATCTGTGTTTCACTGAAACAAAGCAAGCCACAGTTGTGACTTGAATATTTGAAATGGCCACTTATACACATACCACAGCCCACAACAGCTTGAGTAAGATCTGACTAAGCCTCTGTGGGCTGTTCTATTGTGTGGACTGGCTCCCTATGTTGTCAGTAACTTGGGTGTTTTTCATGTGTAGTGTAAAGCCCAAATTTTTGTATGTCTACTCAGAAATAAGTACCACTGAATTTATTTGGAACTACTCTTTAGTATGTACACTTGAAATTGCTGACCTAACTTTTTAAAAACTTGGAAGAAATTAGTAATGATTAGCATAGTTTTCTTTTCTAGATGTTATAGCTTAATAAAATGTGGTTCAGAATAGAAACTAGATTGAAAGAAGGTCAAGTGGCTTGGACCTTAAGTATTACACCAGAAAATGTAATTTGATTAAAAGCATAGGAGCTAGCATATGCCTGTATTAATTTTTATCTATAACTCTTGAACTTGTATAATGTACAGTTTTTCTTTTGTTATAACCTACGGTCTATATAGAATAAATTACTACTACATATGCAGTACACAGGAAGTTTGGTCATAGTAAAATTCTAATTCAGTAAAATGTAATGGAATAGAAATTCCAGCATGTACAAACTCCTCTAATTTTCCAGAACCTGCAAGTCTGGCTCCTCTTTATAGTATTCATTTGTGTCTCAAAAGTTTTATGTTACCATTTTATGTTACCACCGATTTCCTTGTCCTTCTATTAGGAGGCTTTAAGTTTTGTTTCATGTAGATGCATGCATGTTGTAATGCAGCCTTTCCCAACCTAGCGGTTTGTAGATGTTGCTGGGCTGCAATTCCCAGCATTGCTGACTATTAGTCAGTCTGGGGCTGATGTGAATTGAAGACTGAAACATCTAGAGGGTAGCAGGTTGAGGGAAACAGTTATCATGCCTTGTGATAATAACTAAATGAGCAGGAAATAAAATCTTCACTAGCTCTAAGTCAAACTGTTCTCATGTCTCTGGATCTCTCTTTCCCCCCCTGCCCCAAAGAAGCACTGTTACTCTTCCTAGCACTTTGCTACAGGCGCTAAAGAAAACTGCTCGCAGAAAGTGGCAGTTACCCAGCTGTCAGAAGCAATATATAGCGATTACATTGTTCTCTTTTTTCCACCCCTTTCCCCAAATCATGCAGTTGACCTACTCCATGACCTAGAGGCCTAAAAAGGGTATCATCCAAAATGAATATAGTGTCTCTCGCTTGCATGCACGCGCGCTCTCTCTCTCCCCTGTAGCCCTAGTAAAATTATTAGCCACAATGGCCCTCTATAATGAAAAAAGCTAAAAATACATAGTACTTATCTAAGGCTGTATGGTTAGTACCTCTTGCCCAATTAAGGCCCCAAAGGGGTCAAAGTGACTGGAAAAATCTATAATTAGGGGAACATCACTGAAAAAATGTAAAGCATACAATGCAAAATTTTATGAATCTGTAGGCCAGGCATTGGAAAATCTTGTTTTGTAGATTTTATGTATGGATAAGACTGTTCACAGAGGGTGAGATTTGGTTTGTCTTTGGCTTATTGCACACCCAGATTTTCCCTGCTTAAGCAGACACTTCGCAATGCCTGGCCAAAGCTCTGTATATTCCCCACGTACAGTACTTCTGCACACACATTTTTCAGCATAGTTCCTCCACAGTTTCTGGGTCTTTAAATGGAGTTGTTGATACCATCATGACAGATTAAGCTAGATACTTTAAAAAATTCTATTAATCTACTCAACTTATTAGCCATGATGCCTGCTGGTAAGGGGCAGATTTTACTAGGAAAACTTGTGTCTTTTTAAAGCCAGAAATATAGTAATACTGAAAGAAATGAAACTGGTTGAGAAATTATAACATATTCTGAGGTGAAATAAGGAACGAAAATGAAAAAGAACTATAGTTATGCCAGTATGTCACTATCATACCTGCATTCACAAATCCATAAAACACGGTTTTATGTCAATTGCTAAGGACAATGTTTTCTCAACTGCTTTTCTCAGTCATAAAAGGCTCAATTCCTTCAAAGACAGATTTGAATGTGGATTTTACTAGCTTGGTTGCCACAGCTGTACATGGCAAATTGCTGTACAGAACAGATTGTGGGATTTCAAAAGACCTGAAGTTTTAAGATGCAAAGCACTATTCTTTATTCCTTTCTACTTATGTTCACTGCAGAAGTAATGACCAACACTTCTGGGCAATGGACTGACCTGCCTCTGAGATTACAAAGTAATTCTATGATAACTGTCTTCATATACACTAAACATTATGTAGAAGTAGTTGATACACATTATATAGGTTGGCACTGCCTCATAGATCAGCAATTGAAATGTACAGCATTTGCTTTCTTGGGCATTTAATAAAATACTAGCTTTTGCCACTAGGAGTACAAACATTATTTATTTAGAAAGCTTCTATGCTGCCCCATTCGCCGAAGCCTTGGGGTGGCTCACAACAATAAATAACATAGTAATATAAAAACAATGTAGTTGGAGACGTCCTGGACATGCTATTTAAACAGACTTTGAAAACTTTGCATACAAATGTTGGGGTTGTCACCAAAATGTGCTAAACAGTCATCTCATGGGAAATCAATGTGTCACTCATTTTACCGCCATTGTTCAAAAGTATCTTGACAATCCAAAGAGAAATTGAGTACTTGCTAAGATCATTGTTCAGCTATTAGAAGGAAAAATGTCTCATTTTTTCCCAAAACAAAGATTTGAAACAGTATTTCATCTAATTTTAACAGTTAAGTTGCTTTCTGACTATGGCCTTTACCGTCACAAGTGTCTAACCAATATGGAGGTGGATAGATGTTTTTTATGGCTAAGGAAACTGTTTTCCAAAGTTTAGAAAAGTTTATGCCAGTTCTTAAATTAAGTACTGAGTGTGCTTAGTGGATAGGAAATGCTACATAAGAAAGAAGGGGCGTGTATGTGTAGAATACAGAATCCTGTAGGAGGGCATAACTGACTGGAACAATAACAGGAGCACTTCAAAATCGCAACATTTTGTTGCAACCCTGATTGGGAAACTTTGAAATACTTTAAATTAGCTAGGCCTAGATTTCATGTGAGAAGTCATTCAAAATCAGCTTATGACAACTATCACAGCTATGAGGAGAATTCTGTATGTTTATTAAAACAGTAGGCCCACTCTGGTAGATGCTTGACTTTGCTCAACAGGAGAACTCTATATATGTTCTTAAATATTAGATTAGCCTTACCCAACCTGCTGTCCTTCAGAGGTATTTGGACTACAACTCCCAGAATTCCCATTCACCAGGGTCATTGAATGGGAATTATGGGTGTTGCAGTCCAAACATGTCTGGAAGGCACAAGGTTGGAGAAGGCAATATTAGATAATATATTGGTTCTATTGAACTATACCTAACCGCATCTTGAACAGGCTGGAAACACACCTGTCTCAGTTCACCTTTCCTTTAGAGATGCTTCAAAAAGTCCATTATCCTGTCTTTACTCAGACTTTGTTTTTTTCAGGAGCTTGTTGTTTTGGGAGCTTGTAAGAATGGACATCTTTCCTGTGATTGTGGTGCTGGAGAAGACTCCTGTGAGTCCCTTGGACTGCAACACAATCAAACCAGTCAGTCCTAGAGGAGATCAACCCTGACTGCTCTTTAGAAGGCCAGGTACTGAAGATGAAACTCAAATACTTTGGCCACCTAATGAGAAGGAAGGACTCACTGGAGAAGACCCTGATGCTGGGAACGATTGACGGCAAAAGAAGGGGATGACAGAGAATGAGGTGGCTAGATGGAGTCACTGAAACAGTCCGCGTAAGCTTGAGTGGACTCCGGGGGATGGTGGAGGACAGGAAGGCCTGGAGCAATGTTGTCCATGGGGTCACAATAGGTGACTTCACAACTAACAACAATCACTAAAAGAACAAATGGAGGTGGGGAAGGGTACTACCACATGGAGTTGGTTTTTGAAGCTCACTTTTCTTAAGACAGGGACATTCTGTTGGGTTGAAGCTTCTTGAGAGCTTCTAACACAATGCAGCATGAATGAATATCTAATTATTGACAACAGCTGATCATCATGGGTTTTGTCCTTCAAAACATTAATGTGGCAGATGGGATCCACTAAGGATGTTCTAAAATTAAAATGTATGGGTATTCTCACCTGCAAGTATGTTCCATGTATTTATCATCGTTCTTGCAGTTAAAATTGAACTGAAAGGAGCTGAGCAGTATTTCCTCAACGTGGACCTTCCAAGTGTTTTGAACTGTAGTACCCATTCTTCCCAGCCAGCACAGCCATTGATGGGAACTGCAGTACAACACATCTGAAGAGTTCCAGATTGGGGGAAGACTGCTTTAGAATCTGGAATGTCAGCCTTATTGCTAGGGGGAATTGTGTGTATTAGTTTAACATATACATTATAAGTATATGATCATTTCCATTTCTACAGTCCAGTATTTGGAACAAATTTAATATCACATCTGATGTAGGGTAGGAATAACACAGCAGAATGTGTATGGGAAGGCTGTTTCCCAACAAAATTATAAAAGGCAGTATTCTGATCCGTCACCATCCTGGAGTGACCCTGACTTCTTCATGCCCTGGTGACAGAAAGTCTTTGGCAGCAATGCCAGGTGGTAAACAAGCTACTCGAAACTCATTCACCTTTCAGGGCTTTTTTGGCTCCTGGGACACAGAGAGTATAAGGCAGCACATTCCTCTGTGCCTCAGCTCTCATCAAATGGAACTGCAGACTAAGGGTCAGTTTATACAAGCAGCATCTAGTAAAACCTTGGCTGGATTACATCCTTTCAGGATGCAAGAGTGGTGTGGGTGGTGTTGCCTGGCAGAAAATTCCCTCCATACGGCAAAACTACTGTGTTGGGAAAAAGATTCAGCCAAGCCTTCTCCCTGGTATGAGCTGTACTGCTTGATCCTGGCCCATTGTTCAAGCTGGCACAGACCCAAACAGCTATGCAGGTTGCATGAGGGCAGGGAGCAACCTCCAGTTCAATGAAAACTAAATTGCTTATGTGGTCTGTTTTGCATCAAGCCAAGTTCATGATTCAAATGTGCCTATGTTTCTGCATGAGGATCATGTGCTGGAACAGGAGTTGCCAACATACAGAGTGCATCAGAATGCATTTCGAGTGGCACTTTCTGCAGAATGATGCTACTCATTTAGGGGGTATACAGTTGGAATGATATTAACTCTAATTATCTGCTCTATTGCTTGCTCTGCCCATTTGCCATTCTGCAAAAATTGCTACACCACACATCTTAGCACCGCAGGGCTCAAACTTTCAGGAAACCTTATCAAAGGTTCCTAAATGAAACTGAATAATGACCAAGGCCCAACAAACCCCTCCTACAGACAGAAAAATGGGCCTTCTATCATTAACAGTTTTGATGCATGAGCTTCCCAACCAGCTGGTCTGGAATGGAGCTAACTTTTGCTGTTTCTCCCCTCCTTTACTATTTTTTAGCTGAAAAGGCTTCAAGAATGGCTTACAGATCAATATTTTTCCTGTCCTCAGGCTTGCAGTCCAGGAGACATGACAAAAAAGGAAATGGGAGGAAAGCAAGTGGGAAAAGAACTCGGGCAGCAGTTCTTAAAGTTATATTTGATGTAATGACAAGCTGGGATGGAAACAGTTCTTGGTGGCGGTTAAGAGTGACAGTTGTTGCTACATGACTGTTAAAGAGTCAAAGGCAGCTAAGCTTTCTGGAAAGTCAGTGGAACAACCCTGCTTCTCTTCCTCAGCTCTGCAACTTCATTTTGGCAGCAGCAACCTCCAAAGACTTACTTGTGAGGAAGCTCTATTCAGTTATTTCTAAGTAAACAAACATAGGACTGGGTATAGCATACTGTTAGTGTTCTGACAGTATAAACATTTTATTAGGAACTACAATTATGCATAAAGACAACAAAAGCTTCAGTCAAAAGTTCTACTCTTAAATCTCAGGTCTTTTCTGGAAATTCAATTGACTAATTTGACATGTTTTTCTTCTAAATGCCTCCACGGATTCATTTGAAAGCACTTTTATAAAAGCAAAATCAGGTCTAAAAAACAGCAGACGGAACAGCATAGAGAGTGCAACACACAGCTGCCTATGCACTAAAAATATCCCCATTTTTACTACTGCTTCCTTCTCTAAAAGCCAAAGTACCTGCATTACACTGCTAAATCCGATAATCCTTCAAATGCCTGCCCTCCTTCCACAGACAGATGGAGATTCACAACAGATAAAAGGATGCCCTTTCCATAAAATGTAATTGATGGAATTAATTAACTGCTATAAAATATAGCAGCTTTCCCCAACCAGGTGCCCTCTAAACCAGGACAGTATGATACTATCACCCCCATCATCCTGGCAACTCCAGCTTCCCCCAGTGACATTTGCTATGGAGTAACAAGGGAAGACTTGTGTGTGTACAAATACACAAGCACACATTCTTCCAAGCTAGGACTAGCTGAGGGGTACTTTGAGTGTAACTTACCCCTAGCTACTAGCACTTTCCTTCTAAAACCACCTTGGCTTAAGTGAGAAAGAAATCCCGATTTGTGGTGTTTCTGTGTATATGAGAAGGGTGGGGTGAGGAATGACACTTTTAGTAACCTGTAACTTGCTGACAGGCAGTTAATATGATACCCAGGACCTTTCCTTCCAAGCTTTATAGTATTGGTAAAGGCACTAGGGTTATGTTGGTGAGAGAAAATCCCCTGGCTAGGCCAAAAAATGACTGACTACATTCCCAACAGATGGAGGGCTCTGGCTGTGCCATGGCTAGGCAGAGAGATTATGGACTGCCAGCAGCACATCTCTTCAAAGTGCTGTCAGAAACAGCCAACAGGGTCAGAGGAATAACAGGGGTACTTTCGTCTCCCATTCTACCTAAAAAAAATCATGCATTCAGGGAAATGTGCCTGTGAGTCTGATTTACTAGCAGTGAATGGGGAAGGCCATGAAGAGGCTCTAGGATCCTGCAGATACTTACCTCTCCTCAGATACATATAGATATAATTTTCCAAATCCAACCCACCTTCGATTATTGGTAAAAATAAATGTGTTGGTCTCTAGTTGTGCTACAATACTCTTACTTTTGTGGCAACCTCCTAAGGAGGGGCACAATCCTACTATGCATGTTTAGCCAGAAAACAGGCCTTCAGCTGCCCTGGTGAATATTGGGCGTTTTCTAAACACGCACAGGCTTGCACAACACGTTTATACCTCCGGCAAATGGAATATCCTCCATAGAGGCTTCTCTACGATGTCCCCCAGAAAGACACTGCTATTGTTTCTAAACTTTGTCACCAGTAGGTAAGTTTACTTCTGAGTAGGTGCAGCAACGCGAGAGCTCGGTCTGTCCCCCGTCTCCCTTTTCCCCCTTCTACTTAAACACTCATTTCCTGAGATAAGTCCGGAATATCCCTTCCTTTGCTTCAGGTATATCATCGCAAACACTGCAATACAGCGAGGCATTGGCGAATAGGGCAGCACGAGCATCCCACCTCCTGCGCCGCTCGAGCGCCTCCCTCGCCCCACCGCACAAGCCCCGCCTGCCGCGGTCTCTTCGCGCCCCTGCATCGCCGAGCTCTCTCGCGCTTGGAGGGGCTCCGCGCACGCCCAGTGAGCCTGCGTTCCCCTTTCCCTTCCCTCCCAACGTCGCGATTGGCTAAGCCCCTCTCTGCCGGAAAGTCAACATGTCCCGCGTGTGGAACTGCGGCCTCAACTAACCCTGGGCCAATCGTGCCGGCTGTTACTGCGCGAGGTGCAGCGGCATTACCCAATGGGAGGCTGCCTTGTTTAGGGCGGCGCAGCCCCGAGTGTGCCTGAGAACGGATAAGCCTGGGTGCTGGTGTTGCGGGCGTGAGGAGACGCAAAGGCCGGGCTAGGTGAGGTAGAGATAGCGAGGGGCAGGGCAAGGCAGGGAGCAGGTCTTTTCTGATCAGCGGCAGTCGCGCCGAAAGGCGGAGGAACCGGCAGACGGGCAGGCCTTATTGCTCTGCCGAGGCCCGACTGATGGGAGAAACAAGTGGGGGAGCGGGTGGGGCGGTCCGGTCCCAGCACGGGCACCATTTTAAGAGGCGGCCGCGGGGGGAGGTGGGCCGTTCCGCGTTGCTGCCCTTTAGAGAGGAAGAGGAGGAGAAGATGGGCGAGGCGTCACTCTGTGCGGCTCAACGGGGCCTGGTTTCCTAGGCCGGGTTGCCACATGCGGATGGGAGGGGAGCCGCTTCCTCTCCAATTCTCAGGGCGGTTCCCGTTGCTTAGCCCTTGCTGGATTCCGCCCCATGCAGGCGCCGCCGTGTTTCTTTCTCCTGTCCCTTTTCTCAGCCATGTGTTCGGGGCTTTCTGCCCCCGTCCAGCTGCGTGGGCCCTGCCGTATAGAAAGGAGTATAGAAGAGGTGTGCCGCGACATATAAGGATGAAAATTAAAGCAGGCTCCCACAATTTACTGGTACCCTGTGTGTTATGAAAGTCTTCTTTTGCAAATGCTCTGTTAAAAGCTCCCATTCTCCTGTGATAGGTTGCATCGGGTTATGCCCTGGAAGTTTGTCTCCCAATGTTTTATACTTTACCGCACCCTTCCTTTATCAGCTTACCTCCCTCTTCCAAATTGCAAAGTGTGTAATTTTGTTGCCCACGTGCATGTGATGGTACGTTTTGTTACAAAAGCCGTTATCTTCTGCGGTTGTGCATCATTACTTAGGAGCATTACATCTTGCAGGATCGGAGAGATAATGAACACACATTTGTCTCAAGTTTGAAAGAGACTGTTTAATGAAAGACATAGGAACTTAAGCTTAATCATGCAGGGTCAGCTGGATCAGAAAAAGTCTCTTCAGCTGATATGAAATAAATACTGTTTTTCAAGGACTGTTGTGACAATCCTCCAACAAAGCTTATATTTTTGCTTAAAACAGTAGTTTGCAGCTCATTAGCTGTTTACAATAATTTCACATAGACTGAAATTCACCCATGGAATGACAATCAAAAAGTTGCATTTGAGAAATTTATTTCAGTCTGCAATACACTGCATGCTTAGACCAGCTGGAGGAGACTTCTGGCTCCCAGCATTCCCTAGCCGGGGAAATTGCAGGAGTTGTATGTAGTTTTCCTGTCTAAATATGTATATAGTGATGTCCTTGCAGAGTTTCTATGTTTCTTTCCTGGTAATATGTGTGCCTGTTTATTATAGTATACTTTTATTGCTCAAAGTGTCTCCCTTGCCCTCACCATTTGAAAATGAATGCCTACCCTGTTTCTGTGCATGTGTACTTAAGAGTTAAATTCCACTGCATTCAGTAAGGGCTGCTCACTAGTAAGTGTCTAGAAGTCTTATTGAACATAGTGGGATTGCTTTTGTGTAAACTTTCCTAGAATCATATACTGAATCTTGTAGTTTAAGTGTGATTGTAATCATAATTAATATTCTAATGTTAAAAACCTAGATACTGCCAACTGAAAGTTATCAGAATGGTTGATACCAATGCATATCATCATTACAGTGCCCGTGTTTACATCTTAGATTGCACTCTTGTGTATATTTACCTGGGAGTAAGCCCACTGAACTTAATTGGACAATGGAACCATTTACCTAGGGAGGTTGTGGGCTCTCCTACACTAGAGGCATTCAAGATGCAACTGGACAGCCTTTTGCGAGGGGTGGTTTAACTTGATGTCCTGCACTGAGCAGGGCTTGGATCTGATGGCCTTCTGGCCCCTTCTAAATCTACTAGTTTATGATTCTGATTCTAAATAAGCATGCATAGTGTTACATTCTTATAAAAGAAGTACTCTTTAAAGACTAAATTATATAGCCTGTTTTTTTCCTGTTGATAGCCCTTCAAGATAAAATGACTAATTTCATGACACAGCAGTGAAAGCACTCTTCAGCAATAAGTGTACAATCTTACTAAAAATTAGTATATTACCCTTAAAAATCCTAGTGCAAATAAGTATTTGTGGGTTACAAACTCCAGCCTTCTAGAATAGTTTTCTCACAGGTTTTGCTCTACATTTACAAAAGTAATTGTAAAATGACTCAGGATCTTACCTGCATATTCTCATAATAGTCCTGTGACATAAGTTGAAGAGGGGCCCAAGATCTCCTAGTATGCTTCATGGCTGTGGGCGAACTAGTAGCTAGATCGCTTGAGTCCCAGTCCAAACCATTCACCACTACATTACATGGGCTCTCATGTTTGATGGAACTTGGTATTGTGCCTCACAATGAGACATTGGTGTCTGCATCTAGTCACTTTTAAAATTTTTGATGTACTTTGTATTGATTTCTGAAAAACTCACACAGCTTCTCTTATTGCTGGATGGTAACTTTGGATAAAGTGCCTTCATTTTTTATTTTGGAGCATAAGATAATTTGGAGACACAGCACTCTAATTTGACTGTCATTGCAGTTTACACAGTCATGGAATTTGCTGCAGTTATAATGGTCGGAATACTGTTATAGTGCCCCTGTTTGGTATCTGGGCAGTCAACAGCAAAGAAATGTTTTTTCCCTCTGGTCTTTTAAGTAGGATAAGACTAATATTTTTCTTCCAAAGTAGGTGTCTGTACCATTTGTTCTGATGGAGAGGTCAGAACTGCGGGACTGCTACCAAAAATGACAGCCCAATGTCAATTTTTCTGCCCTCCATGCACAACATATCATATTATGCTATCACTCCATATCCTCCCCACCCTACAGACCAAAGCCAGTTACATGAGACAGGAAACTCACAGTGTGATACTGTCACAACACTGAATGTATTATCTCAAATGTTACAATAAGGCAGAGCTTGCCATAACATTTTTGGCAGTAGCCTCATGTTGGGTGTTAAGTACCCATCCTAATTTCTTATACCACTCTTGTACTCTTATATGTGTAGCTGTTTCCTTAAGCTTTTTCTTATTGTGTGAAAGTATTTCACTTTAAACTTATGAAACTCAGTTAATGCTCACTTACTGCTGGATGCATTTGTCAAAACAAGTTCTTTCAGGTTTTTTTGCTTTTGTCTCAGGATGTTAAGCTATTTTGATGTTGAGCTACTTAGCAGGTAACTGCAATAAATTGTGGGTTAATTAACCCATGTTTTGTAATGATGTCACCAGCTGCTGCTTTGGCCCAGTTACAAGTTGATTTGTGAACACAGGCAGTATTGATTAATGACGATCTGTTACTTAACCTATTAATCCATGATTTACCCTGGTGTGTGCAAACTGGGTATTTGTCTAAAACAGAAGCCCTTTAGGCAGGGATAGGAAATCCTCCAGATGT